TTAATCTTCTGGATTATATATTGCATACATTTTTAGCACTTTTCTAAATAAAAAAAAGTTGAAGTACAGTAAAAGAACTTAAACATTGGCCCTCTATAATCCATACTTTAGTAATCCGGCTTGATCCCATCGCTAAAAAATTCATAGCCTAAGAGAAAGAGTAAGTATTTCATATTAAAGTAAAGGTACAATATATAACAATTAGCCTATATATATTTCTGTTCTTTGATATGAAATTACACCCATTACATTAATTAATTACTTTAGGCTACCTGATTCCGATTATTGTATGGTAGGAGTAGGTACAGTAGGCCTAATTAATCACACTAGTGTACCTGTTGCTCGACTTCGAGCAATTGCTAAGTATTACAGGCGTTATTTTAAAACAAACAACAGTCATAATTTCTGATGACTTTAAAAGATTTGATTGAAAGATTATATTCTTGAGTGTGACAGATTGCGTGAAAATATAATAATATTATGGTTCTTACCGTCTACGCAATAAGGGGTGATATTCCACTAAGGCCGTTTTGGAGATAACTCCGTCAGGTGCGTAGTGGTACACTAAACTATAGTCTTGTCACATTTAACACGAAAAGTCTTCATTTGTATTGCGTCACAAATAGCCCTACTCATAGCTGCATTAGGTTGTCCATAATAACGATTATAAATTCTAAAATAAAAAAAATATTGCTATTTCTTTCCTTGGTGGTGTTCTATGACTTTCCTATGAAACTATAGTTTGCAAATCAGCTCTTTCAATGATGACTTTAAGAAATGCAGCACAGTGTTAATTCAGTTTTCTTTTGAGTATATCAAACTATCCAGACTCTCTCGCTTTATTCCATTGTAATATTTAACCCTCTGAGTGTCCCTTGTTTTGGCCCTAATGTCTGCCTATTTATTGCTCATTTACAAGGTTTTATTCAAACGGATCTGAGAAGCTTGAAAACAATGTTAATTATACTGTTCTATATACCATTTTGTTTGGAAAATCATGGGCTTCAATATTATACATAAAATATAAGGAACATTTGTTTCAAAAAAAAAATTTTAGGTAAAAAAAAATATTTTGGAAAATTTTCAAAAAAAAGAAGTTCGCGCTCAATGAAATTGTATAAATTATAGGCCTATAAATATTTGAAAATAGCCACTTTGTTCTAAATTTTATGAGGATTACAAATATATAATAATATAAGGAAGTAGATTTGCAAATAAATAAGTGATGGGCAAAAAACAGATTTCAGTACATAGCGTTTAGCTAAGAATGCATAGCCTAACCATAGCTAGGAATCTGGCTGATAATTTACATCAATATTACTACCTACTTCTTCAGGATCATCAACCAGCCTTTCAAAATCACTTAAATCTTCTTATAATGCACCACATATATCACTACTTTTGATTTTTAACACTAAAACAATGATAAACGTAATAAAACACATCAGTCATCGGTGCGAGGTTAACCAGGCTGTTTACAAATACGCACGTCAGCTGTCTGCTACAATATTTTCGGAACTAAAATGATAAGCGCTTAGAGACAGACCTCCGGAGAAAGCTCTGAATCTGCTGAAAAAAACTATACCTAACTCGATCAAGTTCAATCCGATTTTGTCAGTCATAGAGCCTTCGCCGTAAACAGTGTTTGTGAGTCGATGCATCGACACAAAACACTACACAAAGTGTGTTATGTGTCGATGCATCGACAAATAACACTCGGAGGGTTAAGCCAACCCAAATTCAAATAGTAAATATTTCATTTCAACCAAGTCAGTAAATGTTTGTGTTTATAGCAAACTGTTAAATTAGCAAACTTATTGACTGTTTACAATTAACACATGTTCTTCTTCTCACTTTTAATTTCTGACAACAGCTGGAGTTTCTTAACAATGTTTTTTTCCCATGTTAATCTTATGGAGAAATACGAAACTTCAAAAGGCCCCAGGGCCCTTTCTTTAATTATTTCCCTAAAAAGAAAGTTTCCTGCACAACTTCACGTTACGCTCTTTCCAATGACACCAAAAACATGTCAATCGGTTCAGTAGTTTCGGAGGAGAAATTGTCACAAAAAACATGCTTGCGTATTAAATAAGTACTATTAATATAGATAGATGTAACGCCAACTGCACTATTACAGTACCTACTGACAAATGAGGACAAAATACAGAACTCGCATACGGATCACCCACTCATAAGAAGCTCATCGCTACTAGACTGTAATTATTTATTGTTAGTATTTTTCATCGCAACATTGTCAGTCAGTCACTGCATTAAAGCTTCAACTTTTTTTCAGCAGTCTCATGTCCCTTGATTAGACAAAAAACCTTGATAGTAAATCTGAATTTATAATTGCAGTAAATCTGATCTTTGATTATAGATAGATTTCAGTATCTAAACATCAATGATCTGATATAACCCTTTAAAGTCCATAATTTGATTAAATTATGCTTAACAATCCAAGAGGTTAATGAATTTATGACTTTATAAAATACTTGACTTTCATCGCTTTACTGTAACATGTATATATTTTTATATGACAATTCACAAGACACACATTATTTACTATAATAAGGTAATTCATTTGAGTAAATATTTCATACGAAGGTATTGACAGTGATTTCAGTTCTTAGCTGTAACATGGATAAGTTAAACTCGACTCCATCAGTCTACATTATTAACAGCAACATAATGTTAGATAATATACTTAGAAAAATACTAACAACTGATATAGGCTACACATATATAAAGACACTGCAGGACTTCCTTCAAAACAAAGACATTTTCTTTGAAGATAACATCAGATCATATGAAAAAATACATTTTTAACAGGTAAATGTTTTAAGATAAAAACTTAATATGAAAAAAAAAAACTATAAAACAACTACATTACTATATGACTAAAACATTAACATTTAATCACTTTATCTAGATTTTTCTCTCATCTAATATTGTTTCTTACTACCTAAACATCTTGGTAAACTTACATAATCTTTTAGTGATAGATTACACCATAACCAATAAGCATAGTTACAGTGGTGTTATCAGCTATACGCAGGCTTCTTCAATCCGTCCATTTGAGCGGAAACGGAGGTTAAAATAAATTTGTCTAACTTATTGTTTATTATCAAACATTATCTAGGGCCGGCTTCCAAGAATTAAGAAATATACTTTTTTTACACAACCCAAATGACTGGTTAGCTTGTTTGTTTACTTAGGATTTTTTAAATGATTTCTTCACTCTAAGGGAAAATAACAAGAGGAAATGCCTCGTTAAAATTCCTCTAATTGTACTTAAAAAAAAAAACATTAAGTAAATAAATTTTACTTGGTTACAGAGTTGTAAAAATAGATTCATGTTCTCTACTATTGAGATTTTAATCTTATTTTCAAATTACAACGTATGGTAAATGCAATATAACTTCACTTCAAAATGTATTTAGCTGGAAAATGTAAAATATAAATAGATATTCTAATATAAAAAGAAATAATAACTTGAAAATAGCCTGTATGCAAAAAGTTCACTCATATAGAATGGTAACTACTTTTCAGTTTGGTTTAAGGGACATTTACGAGACACTAACAATATACCTACATAACTACTTACATACCACCTTAGAGCAAGATAATATAATTTCGTCATTACTTAAATAAATGTTACTTTGATCATCTTTCTGAAGGAATAACACACACACAAATTAACTTCAACAGGATAAAATAAGTTTAAAAATTGTAAATTGAAATAACTATGTCTAAATATAAAAAATCTTTCCAGTAAGACAACATCCCCCCTGTCCGATTTTACAGAATGGCAGATGAAATCACACAGCACTTTTGGCTGGAATAGTTCCATGGTAGGTTAGAAAGCACGAAGTGTTTACACTAAGTTTGAGGTGGAGCTGAGGAAGTCATAAAATAATTTGGGCATGACACACACACACTCATCACAACCTCTAGTGTGTACAAAATCACCATAAACCGACGGAGAAAAAATATGTCTAATGTCAATTTAATTGTATATAATTTGTCTGGTTTAACTGTGTGACTAAGAAAATGTCTTTTAAACTTTAATATATCAAAATGTCAAATATCAAAATGTCAAACTTCTAAAACAGCATCTGTGAATTTGAAATTTGCACAAATTATTAAACTTTATATGCGACCAAAAATCCTTTTTTTGTTTTTCACAACTTCTGCTCAAGGCTACTGATATTGTCATCAAATATATTTAACGTTGAAAATTAACCAAATTTAAGGCTAGAACAGATCAAAACACAGTAACTCTTAGGAGAAGAAACTTACTGAGTATAGTACAATCACAACACAAAATATAAGTACTTCTCATTTATATACTTAGAATAATTGGAACTACGTTAATATGGTTAGTTAGGGCTACTATCACTATTTATCACAAGTTCAGGAAAACAAATTCTCTGCAAAAGGTTATAGTATGATAGAAGCAGCTAATTTCTTAGAAATGCAAGTTAATTACCTAGTTTCAAATATTCTTTTCAAATTATTTTTTAGACTAAACTTTACGTACCTCGTCTTGCAGTTCAAAAATAGTGTATGAGGTCCACTACATATGTTTCGCCATATATGGCATTCTCAAGTGGTTCTACAGAAACATATTATCCAATTTGGACTCGTCAACATGTTAATTCGAATACGAAAATAGTCACATTATAACAACAAAATAAATAAACGAATAAAACATTTAAACATGTAGGCCTACAATACATAACCCGACCAACTGCACTGACTGAGACAGAAGTCAGTCTGTGTCTCAGTTAGTCTGAAGTTAGTCTGTCTCAATCAGTGCAGTTGGTCGGGTTATGTATTGTAGGCCTACATGTTTAAATGTTTTATTCGTTTATTTATTTTGTTGTTATAATGTGACTATTTTCGTATTCGAATTAACATGTTGACGAGTCCAAATTGGATAATATGTTTCTGTAGAACCACTTGAGAATGCCATATATGGCGAAACATATGTAGTGGACCTCATACACTATTTTTGAACTGCAAGACGAGGTACGTAAAGTTTAGTCTATACTACGCAGTTCAGGGGCTACAAAATGGAATTTAATTATTTTTTAACTACTAATTTAAATATCAATCAAACTAACTTGACAAATTGAGCTGATTTTTTCAGTAATAGAGCCAATATGCATGCAATGGCTTCATGGACGACATAAGCAAATTTGTATTTTTATATGTACTCTCATAGGGCTCTGCCTTGACCGCTTGCAAAGCTTATACGTTGGTATCAAAGAATTATCTTTATTTAAATAAAAAATATTTGTAAATAGTCCCTCACAATTTTAAAGCCAATACCACTTTAAACAGATTGAATATTAAATCTATACAGAATAAAGGTTTATGGCAAAATTTATACGGCACATGTTTTTTACATACCCTTTAAAAACATCTAATATTCACAAACCGTTGTTAAACAAAGAATACAAAGAATTGTTGAGAAAGAAAGAGTTAATTAGCTAATTACATACATTTGATAATATGTTTAATAAGTAAGTCAGCTAATTTAAAGTTGAGATTTTTTACGCTGAGCTTATAGATTAGTTGGACAGGGACATTGAAACAAATTTTGGAAAAGAGACGATAATAATGAAAGAAATACCCAGACCTCTTGGTTAAGACTTAGAAGGTTTTGGAGGATAAAGAGTCAATCAATGACCTACAAACAACTAGATTTTTGTATAGTAAGAATTATTTTTTCTCTTCCCCCAACACACCAACTGACTGAATTAGAGTATCTTGAACCTTGAGAAGTATCTATTCTATTTAGATCCGCCTTTTGCACACACTACTACAACTTGTTAGTTTGTTCAAGACATTTCACTATAGAAATATTCTACTCCCAAACATTTAGGAAGTTGAGGAAAATATTTATTCCTGTTTTATAGACATGATTTAGCTAATTTTTAGATAACAAAAAATAAGAATTGCAGGAAATTATCATGATGTTGTGATCACTGGATATGCTCAATATTTCACCGTCATCACAAGAGATAATCACGGATGTTGTTTTGAATGCTGGAAATGTTTAGTTTTGAAATGCATTTCATACCAAATATACTGTGATTTTTAAGGATTTTAGAGTCCAATTCCCGAATGAACCGTCCCATCGATGATTTCTATGGATCACTATCCAACCAATTCATCCATAAACACCACCAGCAAGTTCGTCAGGACTATAAATCATGTAAACAACAAAACTTAAAGAAACACGTCCGGCTGATGTCATAGTTCTCGACTGTGATGAGTGTGTGTCCGTCCAGCGGGCTCAATATTGCACATATCACAAGGGAATAGTGTTCAATGAGAGGGGAGGCAGGTGGCTGTCGAGTCGTCGTGTCGTGTGTCTTCGTCACTAACACACAACGAAATTAAGTCCCAATCACGTTCGTCTCCGCTGATCAGACTCATCCGCTCGTGCTTGTCTTCCCTGAAACATTGTTTTGGTTAACAGGGGACAATGGTTTAATGTGATAACATTACATAGTGAATTTATGTGACACTATTGTGATGGGTCAAATCTAAATATCATTGTACAACAAACCATAAAAATTAGAAACTTTGGAAAAGTTTAGGTTTTGAGATTCAAAACTTACTTATTGATCTCATATTTATGTTCAGTGTCAGGAGTTTAATTTACTGCAGTGTTTCAAAAATATGATTTTTCAGGTTTTAAGTATTTCAATTTAACCATATTATTCACGTTATTATCTCAGTGTTAGGAGTCAAATTATTCCTACTGTCTTTTTTCTTGGAAGTATCTCACAAGGTTACCATAGTCTCAAAACATTTGTGTTACATCCAGTTTGAAAAAAATAAAATAGAAATCAGTCCATAGAACGTTGTTTTAATCTTAAAATAAAAAATCAGTGTTTTACACGATCAAAACACCGTCCTATGGCCTGACTGAACCAATATTCAAAAACAAATATCACAGTAAAATGTATCTAGAGCCAACAGTAACTCTCACACTACTAATTTAAATCTGAGCTTGAGTCTGTACAAGATTTAGACCATTTCTAGAAAATATAAGGTATTATAAAAGTATATGGATTATAAACTAAGAAAAACTGTCTTATTTTCACAAAAAAACATTACCACTACTATTTTTTTAATTAATACAATCACTTTAAAATAAATAGGAAAGTTACTTACATAGGCTGAGCTTTGAGAAATGTTTTGAGCTGCTTGACCTTCTGAATCCAATCTGCTTTTAATGAAGATCTGAAAAAATATACAAGTACTGATAATGTTCGGTGGAAGACAAGAGCACAGGCTTTACTGACAGCTTAAAATCAAAATATATTCATATCTGAGTAGATCAAATCTTGTGTGTAAAACTTCCATAGAAAAATAGAAAATAAAATTATTTTGTGCAACTGCAAAGGTTAACTTATTCATAGCAAAAAGCCAATACCCGATCTCCAGAGATAGACAATCCTGCTATTCAATTATACTTCAAATTCCTTAAATCTTGACACCTCAATTTAAACTGTACATACCCAAGGAAAAATCTGAAGGTAGAAGGCTGATCTGTCGTAACAGAGGAGATGGAGGGTCCCTCTGTCTGTTGTATCACGTTCAGTTTAGAGGGGTCGAACTTCATGTTGTCTGCACACAAGATGACATGCATACACTTATAAGGCTTCAATGTTTTGTGATCGATGAAACATATTTTAACATTTTGCTCTCTATGCTCTATTGCTCTCTCTAATTATTCATGTGTTATATGTTTTTTGTAAAATTATTTTGGTTTTGTATAAAAACAAATTTAATCTAAATGTACGCTCTAAGGGCAATGGTGGTCTACAAAGTCATAAGTTTACTATTGGATCGTTCATTTTGCCTAATATTTTTAGGCACAATACAACCACTAAGTGGCGGTCCCAGGGGGTGGGCATTGGGGGGGGTTAGATCAGAATATCAGGGTGTAAGCTACCCCGTTTTCAGGCCTTTAAAGTTTTTAAGCAACCCTTTGAACTCCAAACTCATTGCCAATCGTAAAATTAACATTATCAAACATCCACATACAACCTATGAGAGAATTCTTCTACAAAAACAAAAACAGCTGATAGTTAAAACTGACGTATGCTCCAAGCCCTTAATCTTGGCGTGTGTGGAAGTCAACAACAATCCATCAAAAACTTTATTCTAAATAGTTTAGATTGTTGTGGTCATAAGATGACAAAATAAACAAAATAGATAACATTAAGTCATTGAATAACTCACGGAGTTCAAAGGGTCCAAAATCCATATTTTGATTTTACTAGTTTACTATGTCCAAAAGCCAACGAATTGGATGCAAATTGTCTCATTAGCTGGGTGGTTGCATTAAAATCTGAAGATCTCCAACAGGATCATTGGGTCATTTGTTATATGACGCTATCCAACCAAAGGTTGGTAGATTAGTAGCATGATCATGATTTTGATGGTTTCCTCTAAACTATGCTAACGATGTAGAAAAAAACATAAAACTTGAGAACAATTTTTTCCTTGAACATAACAGTTTGGCTCTACTCACTTGAGTCTACTGGGCCGAGGATGAGTGCGGCCACGTAGAGATGGTCGGGTGTCCACTCCGCTGGTATCCTGGCGAAGATACGTGCCTCACCCGTACGTGTGGGCAGGTGGAAGTTGAGTGCTGAGAGTAGCCATAGACTAGGCTCTAGTTGCATCACCTTCCACAGGTCCTGGGTCCAGGTGACCAAAGGCACAGGCAGCTTCAGCACTGTCACAATAACCATTCATAACACCACGTTTTGGGCAAAAAGGCAGGAGAAAACACCCTAGTACTCCTAACGTTACCAGGCACTTGTAGATGTCGGGACAAGAACAGCAGTGTGTGTGGTGTAAGGGAAGGGGGTTTGTTCTCATTCAGTGTTTGGGTGTCTTGTCTATTCTGGTTTAGGAATAGGAAACTTAGGTGTTTTTGTGGAGTGTTGGACTCAAAATGGTCAAATATTTCTGATATAAGTCAATGCTATATCGTCTCTTATGTGCTATAAGAGGAGTCACATGCCTGTCAATTTTTTTTAAATTAACATTACTTTCTGAAAAGCATTTGCCCTAACCCATTGCTATCTAACCCTTTTTGCTCAGTTGGCAATTTTTACGGACCATGATGTTCATGGAAACACTACTGAGTTTCGACAACAGCTGTCTCTGCCTCTCGCAAGTCCAACATACCACAGCTGAATTCTCTGCCTATCACCAGAGCAGCCATCATGACAGTTTCTTTCTACTACATCTACATTATTAAAGTTTTGAAGTTGCTCGCTTGATATAATTTATGAGCAGACATCAAAAACTAAAACAGCATGTGTAATAAAAAATTGTTTTTTGTCAGTCAGAAATCAGAAATCCTTTTTGTCCTTAAGCAAAACAATATTACAATAGACATGGTCACAGATTATGGTAGGGTTAAACAGAGTGCAATTTATCCAAGCTGCTGTGCAAACCCAAGCTTTCCATCTGACTGATTAAGGCAATTTTTAAATAGCCTTTCAGATGCTAAAAGTCCCTACTATTTTGGCTTATTTACTAGTTAACAGTTACAAAGTAATTGGGTAAGAAATAAAGGCAAAGTTAACGTACTTGTGTAGAAGTAAGTAGCAGGCTCCACAAGGTCGTATCGAGGCTCCTGCTGCTCGTCCACAAGTAACCGAGCGTAACAAGCCTCTAGCAGACATGTCTGCAACCACTTGACAAAGAAACCACAACGTTCACCGTGGAGGTAGTCTGCAACAAACAAACCATTAATGTTATTTAAAGGACTTTTGTGGACATTTTTCCATCACAGTAAGTGTAAAACAAAGTTTTCACAAGGTTTTTACGATCTGGAATTTGATCTCTTGCTCAGATGAGAAAGTAGTCTTGAAAGATAACAACAAAATTTATATCAGTATGTAGGTTATTTTAACATTCTTATTTCTTTTTATCAACCTTGACCAGGTAACTAAAAACGTTTGGCGTTCAGGTTTAGAGATTGAAGATTGGATTTTTTAAGTATTGGTTTCAGGTTTGAGATTTGAAATTCCTGGTTTTGACCATCACTAGTGTGTACATCATCAACGTCTTCATGGTAAAATTCGTAAAAAATTCGGGTCATCTCCCGTGGAGGTGTAAAGATCGACATCTTCAGCAATCTCGGCAAATTCCTGGAAATCTCCTACATATGTGTTCTATGATCAGTGGTGGTTCTAGGACCTTGTCAAAGGGATGGAGGGATATACCTGTGCCTGGCCAGGTCATGCTGAAATTAATCATTCAGTGTGGTAAGACCTTGTGGAAAGGACTGGAGTTATTGCATGTGCGTTGCTAGCATTACATAACCTATACTGTGTGTTTCGCCCGTCGTTCTAGCGGTGCCAGTCCCCCAAGACCGGTAAATTCCCACTTGCACAATTTTTTCACTTTACACATTTATTGACGATTGACATATTTATTTTGTGTTTAATAAAGATGGACTCCCCAATACCAAATTGTTATCAGCAGTTCCATGATTCACTGTGATTGAAATGAACAATGGTTGGGAGGGAGAAAGGGGCTGTATATAATTATAAATTTAGTGTAGTATAAATGTATAAAAAAGTGTGTATTTAATTTCAATTTGTATAGCCTACAAAAATAAAAAGCAGCAATACCTGCTATGGGCCTTAAGTAATATTTAACTAGCTTACAATCTCTCTCAGGTTAGCTTACAATTCTCTTTCAGGAGTAACTAGCTTACTTGCAAATTCAACCTATAGGAAAGTAGCTATTACCGTAGGTGGCACAGTAAGCTAGGCCAGGACCGATTTACTTTTTCATTTTGATGTCTCCAGAGGCCAAAAACACCATTCGTTCAAATTTTTTATCAATTTATATCGGGCACCAGTACTAGACATTGTAAAGGTGGTACCATAAAACCAACCCATCACTATTTCTTACCTATGATTACTTGAATCCCTTCAAGAACGTCCATTTCAGGAGTAACATTTTGAATGGTTTCAGGATTGTTCTGGAAAAAAACGGTTCATTAACTATAAACATTTGCCTACCAATTAATTATGGTAACTAACAAATGGATAATGTTAACTAGGTGGCGTTCGCAGAGGCATCCACAAAATTGAGCGGAGCCATCAAGGGTTTATATTATATTGTTTTGGTCATACTGCAGTAATACCAGTCGTTTTTCAAACATGCGTTGCGGGTCTAAAGTACTCTTTACACATTTTTACTCTTTAGGAAGTAAAAATAGTTTTTATCCTCTATTATGGAGAAAAAATCAGCTTTTGTCAACTCAGTTGTAAATTTCTAATGTAAACGATTACATGTATCGAAATGTGTATCGATTCGTGCTTCGTAATTATTTTAACCTACACAGTCTACAGTCTCTTCCCAAAGCGTTTTAGCATAGCAGATACATTTATCCATTCCCACCCTCAACACGCTCACCTTTACTACATCCTTCACCACCCCCTACGTCGTGGACCTATTTCCCTCTCTTCCCATAGCATTTTAGGATTGCAGATACATTAATGTAATGGCTAAAGACACTTCCCACACTCTACACTGCAAGCCTTACTACTTCCTTCACCATTTCCTACGTCATAGACTCTTGTTTCCTTCCCTTCTCATAGCATTTTTGGATTAAAGATACATCAATCTAAATGCCACAGACGGTTTTCACACTATGCTCATACTTTACTACTTTCTAAGCAATTTCCTATACCGTGGACCTGTTTTCATCACTTTCCATAGCAATTAAGTATTTTAGATACGTTAATCTAATTGCCACAAACATTCCCCACACTCCGCACTGCTAGCCTTTACTACTTCTTTCACCATTTTCTATGTCGTGGGGATGATTCCATCCTTTCTCATAGCATTTCAGCATTGCAGATACATTAATCTAACTGCTACAAACGGTTTCCAGTTCCCACACTCCACACTGCTCACCTTACTACTTCCTTCACCTCTTCTTACGTCGCGGACCTGTTTCCCTCTCTTCCCATAGAATTTTAAAATTGTAGATACCTTAATCTAATCGTCACAAACAGATCCCACACTCCGGACAGCTCACCTTGACAGTAGTCAAGACCTTTACCAGCAGTAGCCTTCACCACTTCATCCGTCTCGGACCTTTTCTCTCCCTTCCCATAGCATTTTAGGATTGAAGATCCTTTAATCTAATCGTCATAAACAGTTCCCACACTCCGGACAGCTCGCCTTGACTACTTCCTTCACCACTTCCTATGTCGCGGACCTGTTCCCCTCCCTTCCCATAGCATTATATAGGAGTGCAAATACCTCAATCTAATGGTCATAAACAGTTCCCACACTCCGGACTGCTCGCCTTTACTACTTCCTTCAACACTTCCTACGTCATGGACCAGTTTACCTCCCTTCCCATAGCATTTTATGATTGCAGATACCTTGATCTAATCGTCATAAACAGTTCCCACACTCCGGACAGCTCGCCTTGACTACTTCCTTCATCACTTCCTACGTCGCGGACCCGTTTTTCTCCCTTCCTATAGCATTTTATGATTGCAGATACCTTCATCTAATCGTCATAAAAAGTTCCCACACTCCGGACAGCTCGCCTTGACTACTTCCTTCACCACTTCCTATGTCGCGGACCTGTTTCCCTCCCTGCCCAAAGCATCATAGGATTGCAAATACAGTACCTCAATCTAATGGTCATAAACAGTTCCCACACTCCGGACTGCTCGCATTTAATACTTCCTTCACCACTTCCTACGCCACGGACCTGTTTCCCTCCCTTTCCATACCCAAGTAGCAAAAATCGTTGGCAAATCGTTGGCCCAACGTTTCTGTCGATCGTTGGCCAACGGTATGTTTTGGCACTCAGTCTTACGGTTGGCCAACCAACCAATTTTTGCGGAAGGGCCAACCATCCCATTGGGCATAAACATAAAAAACACAAAATAATAAAGATTTTGTATGCAAAGCATAATTATGAGTTGAGTAAATTGATTAAATAGTTGATAAAAACTTATTTTGAAAATAAAACGAAATAAAATTTTTTTGGCCGGGACGGGTCTCGAACCCGGTACCTTCAACATGTGAGCCTCACGCCTTACCTCTGAGCTAACTGTGCTTGTTGATTAAGAGTGTTAGTAGTGAAGAGTAGCCGACAGGTGCAATGGTCACAATTAATACTTGGATATTTCTGATGCTACAGTATAATATGATTCTGTCAATCTGTTTAGGCCTCAAGTAGCTGAATTGTTTTTCTGGTAGTTGGAGAGGATACTAGTATTTGAATATAGATTATTTAATTACCATTAGAATAGTAGGCTACTGTTATAATTGATTGTTATATAATTAATTAATCTTTTCTCTATAACTATTAAAAACTTGCTTAAATAAGTTAAAGAATATTAAAAAAAAATAATTATAATAATTATTATATGTTAAGCAGGTGTTCCCCACTGTATCTAGTATCACAACATCATCTGACTACATTCATTATTGATCCAAATTTTTTACAATATTTGTCTTATATTCTGCTGCCATAACATTTATGTACTTTTAAATAAATCAATTTGTTCAAATTCGTTTTAGAATGTTTTATACTTAAACCCAACGAATACCCAACGAAGGCCCAACGATTATTTCCTCTGTAGGGCCAACGAATACGAGTTTCCGTTGAGCCAACGTTGGCAAATCGTTAAAATTTCTGCCAACCATTTCCCAACCGTGCCGACCATTTCCCAACGTTGGGCCAACGATGTGTGCTACTTGGGTAGCATTTTGTGATTGCAGATACCTTAATCTAATCGTCATAAACAGTTCCAACACTCCGGACAGCTTGCCTTGTGTACTTCCTTCACCACTTCCTACGCAACGATCACGTTCCTACGTCACGGACCTGTTTACCTCCCTTTCCATAGCATTTTAGGATTGCAGATACCTTGATCTAATCGCCATAAACAGTTCCCACACTCTGGACAGCTTCCCTTGACTACTTCCTTCACCACTTCCTACATCGTGGACCTGTTTTCCTCCCTTCCCACAGCATTTTATGATTGCAGATACTTTAATCTAATCGTCATAAACAGTTCCCACACTCCGGAAAGCTCGCCTTGACTACTTCCTGTATCACTTCCTCCTTTGCGGACTCGTTTTCCTCCCTTCCCAAAGCATTTTATGATTGTAGATACCTTAATCTAATCGTCATAAACAGTTCCCACACTCCAGACTGCTCGCCTTTACCACTTCCTTCACCACTTTTTACGTCGCGGACCTGTTTCCCTCCCTTCCCACAGCATCATAGGATTGCAAATACCTTAATCTAATCGTCATAAACAGTTCCCACACTCCGGAAAGCTCGCCTTGACTACTTCCTTCATCACTTCCTACGTCACGGACCCGTTTTCCTCCCTTCCCATATCATTTTGTGATTGCAGATACTTTAATCTAAACGTCATAAACAGTTCCCACACTCCGGACTGCTCGCCTTTACTACTTCCTTCACCACTTCTTACGTCGCAGACCTGTTTCCCTCCCTTCCCATAGCATTATAGGATTGCAAATACCTTAATATAATGGTCATAAGCAGTTTCTACACTCCGGACAGCTCGCCTTGACTACTCCCTTCATCACTTCCTACGTCGCGGACCTGTTTCCCTCCCTTCCCTTATGATTTTTGGAATGCAGATACCTAAATCTAATCGTCATAAACAGTTTCCACACTCCAGACTGCTCGCCTTTAGTACTTCCTTCACCACTTCCTACGTTGCGGACCCGTTTTATCCTCCCTTCCCATAGAATTTTAGGAATGCAGATACCTAAATCTAATCGTCATAAACAGTTTTTACACTCCAGACTGCTCACCTTTAGTGCTTCCTTTAGCATTTCCTACGTCATGGACCTCAAGCTAGTGTCGTCATTTGATTATATTTATGATTCATACCGTTTCTGTTCTAATATCTGTGGAATAATGCTATCAGCTATTTCTTTATCTACTGCATTCAAAAGTCAACAGCTGATCATATGTCTTTGTTTATGTGTCAAATACTGCTTCCATAAGGATTACATTGAATCTTTGAGACCCAGTGGGGCGGATTCCTGAGAGTTATTTTTAACGCCATATAGATGTTGGCACTCACCGATATGGTCTTTATCACCATCCAAAATTTGAAAACGATTGATTCAGCCGTCTAGGAGGAGTTTGCGTATTACGAAATGCATAAAAGTCGATGTATAAGAGCTTCGCTCGCTCCGCTCAACAAGAATTAGATCATTACTAAAAAGTTAAAGAATGCCAAAATCATTGAAACCCACCCAATAAAATAAAAACAATACTTACAGCTGTTAAAGGAACAACACTTGAATCTAAATATATAAAAGGCAAAGCCCTCACTGACTGACTGACTGACTGACTGACTGACTGACTCACTCACTCACTCATCACTAATTCTCCCACTTCCCACTTACCTAGGAGGCTGAAATTTGGTACACTGATTCTTTAGGCATTAAATAGGAAAACTAAGTGGTTTTTATTCTGATCGGACTCTCGGGCTCCGCCCCAGTGGCTCTGGAGTTTCCTATGTTAACCTAATGAGTACTCATATTTAAATGGACTTATTGAATAATAACAGCTGTTTCAATTAAACAAGTTGGTTCTGTTCTGTGATGTTCAATAGCATTTAAGTTACAAGGATTACCAACAGAGTGCAGCACTATTATTTTTTTAAATTTATAACAACAGCTAATTTGCAACCAAAAGGTGAGTGAGCGTAGCGAACGAACTTCAACTCGGAGGCGAGTTAGCGTAGCGAACGAGCTAACCTGAAGGCAAGTGAGCGCAGCGAACGAGCTCCAACCGTAAAGGTGAGTGAGCGTAGCGAACGAACTTCAACCAGGACGTGATTGAGCCATGCGAACGAGCTCACATATGAAGTTAAACGGGGCAAAGCCCGCGGGTACAGCTAGTCTATTAATAAATCAATACAGAAATTAGTGTAAACACCTGTATTTATGCGATCCAATGTGTTGCTAAATTGCAACCGGTTTCGACTCACATTAGGAGTCATCATCAGGCCAGTAAAGATGTCTTCTTGCTTTCATTCGAAGGTCGTTAATTTTTGTTTTTATGTTCGTTTACGTGTGCTTGTCTTATTTATTTATTATCAATTGGCGACCTTCGAATGAAGCAAGACATCTTTACTGGTTGATGATGACTCCTATGTAAGTCGAAACCAGTTGCAATTTAGCAACTTTTTGGATCACATAAATGCAGGTATTTAAACCAATTTATAGTATTTAAATGTGATCAGGAGGCTAAAATTGGATATTATGAAATATTAATACAACCTGAAAGTTATAATGGGCATGAAAGATTGATGGTAGACAATTGTTATATTGACTTTTAAAATATCTTTAACATTACAAATAAATAGGCATTGTGTTTTGTAAGCTTACCGTAGATTCTCTTTCTATCAGACCCTTGTACTCTTCTTCTACTATAAGACCATTTTTGAACAGATTTTCAACAATCTGCAACAAATAAGACAGGGTAATAGATTGCTTTCCAATTTGTCAAATTATATTCACAAAATTAAGCAACTATTAAAATTATTATAGTTATAAATTAAACAAAAGTGTGTAAGTCTTGCAAAGAGTAGTTTCTTTAACTACAAGCTAAACTGTTCTAACTATTTAAGATTTTTCCAGTATTTCTTTTACTTTTATCGGAGAGTTGATTGTGGATTTTAGTACCTGCTCAAAAAAGTTTGCACAGATAAGGTAAAATTTATCATACACTTTTCGATATTGCATTGATATATTTTTATTCCTCATGGTTTACAGATTAACATTATTTCAGAACATAACTATGTATTAGACTGTTTCTTTACAACAAAAAATGTAAAAAATTCCAAAAAACCAGATTTTTTTTATTTCTTAGCATATTTTTAGCTATATTATAGTTTTATATATTTATTTGTCCATAACCATTTCAGCCCGTTTCACAGCTATGCTGGATCTGTAAACATTTTGTGAAAATAAATTATTGACTTTGACTTTAGTTTTTAGACTTTTGAACAAGAAACCAGTGCCAAGGTTTTCAAACAAGAAACAGTCAACAAGTCAACTGTACTCAAGTTAAATGACATCAGTTGTTGTGTTTTTAATCATGAGCTACACTCTTAGTACGACAGATTATCAACTTCCTTGGGTACCAGTAATGTTTTTCAGATTACGAAATGGATGGAATTACTAGACTATTATGTTACCTCTGGTCGGTTCTTCTTGACTCCGCAGTTCTCGGTAAACAGCTGTGCGATGTGTCCGATAGGATCATCCAACTGCAAGCTCTGAGGGAAGTACCAACAGAGATTGTCAGTGTCTTCTTTGCTCCACCTGCAAGTTAAAAGAATTAGCGACATCATCTCTGAGAGACACGGAACACCCACTGAACTGAATAATTAGAAGGAAACATAATGTTGCAATTGTTGATGCCATTAATAATATCAGTAGTGGATTGTTAAAAAAGAATTTTACAAATGAAAAAATTATATTTCATAAAGAAACAAAAACAATAACTTAGGTCTAGCTTTACTTTCAGGAATAGAATATTACAATAAGCATTCCAAAAAGAATTATTTGGTTCCTAACGATAGATAATCTAAGACTACAACAGAATCTCACAAAGACAAAGGTTTTCATAAAATGTGTTAATTTATTTAGGGAATGCATGAGTGACTTTAAATGAGTTGCGGCATTATAACATAGATAAAATCCATTGGTGATTGGCAGGATTTGAGCCCGGGACCTCAGACTCTGAAGCCCAGTGCTCTACCACAAGACCCAGCTCGCTACCTTTCTCTATACTACTATGAATATGAATAATGAAAAAGCCGTCCCGTTAAAAAAATTCTTTCTGATACAGAAAAGTATTATTGAATAGGTATTAAAATATGGTAAAAGGTTCTAATTTTTTAACTAGGTATTTTTTACATAAGTTAATAGACACAATTAATAAAACAACTTTTTTGAATTACTAAAAAGTAAAAAGGTACCTTATTTATTTTGTGAGAGTCTACTGAGGTAAAAATAAAACGGGTTTTTACTCAAGTAAATTAAAAAAAAAGTTTATTTTGTGAGAGTTTACTGAAGTACAGTAAAAATAAAAAGGTTAAAACTCAAGTAAATTGTTAAAAGTTTTTTGTCAGAAAAATAAAAGTCTGAGTCACTTATCAGAAATAGCACCAAAAATGAGGAAACAGATACTTGTTAGGCTACTGAAGAGTTGAAGTTTGGCATTGAAGAACTAAGGAATAAACAGAAGACATACCTGTTGTCAAAAGTAACGTGGGGGTCTGAAATCTCCTTAATAAGCTGCACCACCCTTTCTTTGATATTCCGATGCCTGGACAGTGAATAAATAAGCACTCTAACCTAAACCTTTGTCTAAAGTTAAAGCGTGCAAGTACTTTCCACACTGCTTGGCTAAACATAAACTTTAAGATTGCCAATACAAAGAGCTATAGGCCTAGAGAATTTTACGAATACACATATACAACAATGCAATTGTTATAGCAAATAATTACAGTTAGTTTGCATTGACTCTAAAAGCCTTTCCCAATACAATACTGGTTTTCAGGACAACCTTTGTCATGCATACAAGAAATTACAAAAGAAAAATAAAACACATTAATAATAAATACCAACTAAAACCTAATAAAACTATAAAACCTACTTCTATGAAAGCAAAAAGCCAAGAAATTTAGGAAGGTTGAGTCATACTACTAGAATAACTTGATCTAATTTCATTAAAGCATTTTTAGCAAGCACAGTGGCATTGAAGTAAGGCTCCTTAAGGCTAAGTCACAGTTAATGAAGATTCGTGGTCTCGGTTATTATATGTTATGTGTTACACATTTAATTCCTACTGAATTAACTGTTTATCATCATTCTCTGATTCTGGATAAAAGTTGAAATAAAGGAAAAGTAACGTAAGCATGAAACTGCTACATAAGTAGTATTATGTGTGATCAATTTCAACATTAACATCCAAGCTACAAAAAGGAATAATAAAGAAAGTGAGATTACCACTTTCCTGTGAAGAGAATATGGGTGGTTTTATTTTGACAAAAAAAGAGAATTTTTGTACTTTGAACACTATAACAATGTGTAATTGCATTTGACCTCATACAAGTTGAAAGCATTATCAAAGAATTGACAAAACTAAAGACATTTAAAATCAAGCTAAGCCATCCCCAATATTCTAGAAAACATTTAAAGAAAAACATTAGCTAAAACGCTAATGAATAACAAATTTTGACGAATATTGATCTTTGGAAGATGGTTGTCTTATTGAAATGGCAAAGGTACTTGCTGATGTGTTGGATGTGATTCGGCAATCCACCTTTGGGGTATGCTACAATTCTACTGAAGCTACAAGTCAATTGAATTGTAGCTTGCTCTAAAGATAGAATGCTTCATCGCATCTGAAACATCAATTAATATGTTTTACCCTTTCAACGACAGTCATCTCTCCCAAATAATTTGTTTCAAGGAAGCCTACTTTCAAGGGCAAATTTAATTTTGTATGTGCGTTTTAGAAATTTTGAAATGGTCGTAAAGATTCTGTCTTTGGAGAGAATGTTGTCTTATGAAGTTATGTATAATTGGACATCAGGGTGCCATCAAAATACTTAAAATCTGTCTCTGTTGCCAAGATTTTATGGTGCTTGCCTTCAAATCTTAAAATCGATGATTTGATTCCAAACAGGATAGATTTAGACCCAGATGCCACTTTTCATTGGGATATCAATTAATTATGCTCCCCAACAAAAGGTTGATGCTAGGCAAAAGTCATAGTCAGGTCTGTTCCATTACAAAATACCCACGCCGCAGCAAATCTGCAGACTAAGAAAATTTCCATTTGTCTGATTGGGTTCACACTAGCATGTCTCCTTGAAAATATCACATTTACTCCCTATTTAAATAGTATTAGTTAGAAGACAAAAATATATATATATATATATATGAGTTTGAACGGATAGTGTTTTTGGCCTCTAAGGACCTAAAAACAAAAAAGTGTAAATGGTCCCTGGGTCCAAGCCTTACCATGAGTACTACAGTAATTAATAGCTTATTCCCTATATGGGAAATTCGCTAAAACATGAAAATGCCAATGGCGCCAGCAAAAACACACACAAAAAGTGAAATGTAACTTGTGGTCGTGACACACACTTGCAAGATATTATTTTATGATTTGGAGATGACATCCTGATGATCTATACATACATATTCACCTAGGACAATACTGATCTAAAGTCAGATTAACAAGTATACTAATCTCAAAGAATATACGATGCTTTTATGACTCTACAATGTGTTTGAATGTAACAAACTCAGTCAAAATAAAAACTATATTTTGATAAACGCATAATTGCCTTCACTACTCACTACAATGCTCAGTAAAATGACAACACCCCAAAAGTTGGTTCAAGTGTGCAATCATATGTAAGATACAACTCTCATAAAGCTAACAACAGACTAGAATGTGTTCAAACATGTACTGACTCGTAGCAGGTGGCTGGCTGGGTGTCTTGCTCCATGATGGCTGTACAATGATGGTTGGAGGCTGAAAAGGCTGTAGCTGAAGGGTTATTCTTTGTCTGCTTACTCTTCAAACACTTCTGTATTACGTACTCCACCAGGTCCATCCAGTTCTGCAGGCATCCAATAATCAGTCTCACGACAGTATGTTAAGAATTTAAAAGAAAGACTCATGGTTAATCTCCAGGAGTTTTTTTTTTTTTAAACAGGGCTCCTGCAGAATTTTAAAAGAAACATATTCTAGGAAAAAAGAATATTTTTTAGAACATTTAAAGTACCTAATCAAACTAAAAAAAATGATCCTGTCCAGTTGTAAGATGTAATGTTGTGTATGTGTACTACAATTAGAATTTATTAATGCTTAAATAAAAGTGTTACGAGTTATTCACAAATAGACAACTTCAGCAAATAGAGAAGAGTTCATTTATCAAGTTTATTTTAATACTTCTTTATCCTTATCTTTAAATCACGGACACATACGTCCATTTAGTTTTGCAACATTCAAATGGTGCATCTTATTGATTAACCCTGTATATTTGAGAACTGGTTAATCAATTGGCAATTGATACTAATTACCAAAGAAAAACTCACTTCACTCAGTTGAAACTCAGTTTCCACGATACGATTGAAAGAGCTCAGAATTGTTGGTTGGAAAAGAACGGAAACTTTCTCCAAATCTCCAGCAATGTGGTGCATCATAGTGAAGATGCAGTTGTTCACGGTTTCTCCGTTGTCTTCAAAACAGGCCAGCAAAACTCCATACTGCCTCATCACGTCTTCAGTGGCAAACCTGTGAAACGGTGTGGTTCAATATTGGGCTCATTAAACAAATAAAGTGCGAACATAATTATTGACATCTAAATCAGGTCAGACATTTTGATATCAGGTATTGTGCAAGGAAATATAGTACGATTGTTAATTCAAACAAAACCATTCTTTGTTTGAAATTCATTTTTGGTGATGGCGTATTCAAAAATTTATTTTGTTTACAAGAATTTTGCAGACATTTTCCAAAATAAACAAGTCAAAAACATTCCATTTGTAGCATTCAACATGTGCAGACGAGTCCATTTTGTTTACTTACCCTGCATTTAAACTATTTGCGCATTTTCAGAATTATTATTTTTTGTTTTGACCACTATACAGGTCTCTGAGTGGTTTTTATTTTGTGATTTTTTTAAGCTTTTGCTGTGTTTGTGTACTTAACATTTTATTTTTTGAGTGATTTCTGTTGAGAGCATGATCAGATTCTAGATCTTGGAATGTTGATACTTCATAAATGTCTTACTTGTCCTGATAGAGAATGCTCACAGTTATCTCTTAAACCTTAGACTTATTTTTTTAGCCGACAGCTATCTACAAAAATCTTGTATTTATCTTAATTTAAAAAAAAGTCATAAATATCTTATAAAATGATTCACTCACTGTTTGATGTGATCCGCCATGGCCTCTTTGCTGAGGTAGTTCTCCACTAGCAGCAGCAGGCTGTGGTTCGTGGCTACAACATCTTGTAGAAACTGATGACTCTGCACCAGCGGATCAAAGTGGCGCAACAGCAACACAAACAAACATCTCAGGTCGTTGGTGTGTGCCATCTTCTCTGTTGGATCATACAAACAATTATTTGAATTGAGGTACAAGGAGGGGGGAGTAAGCTTAGGTAATTATTGACTAATCTGAATTATTGCCTAACATAATATTTTTATTGTTTGGACAAACTTAAAAAGTGAACGCAATTCTTTGGGCTATGTTCATTTTGTATGGGGGGATCATTACCATAAAATAAATAAGTGTTGACTTTTTAACAGCATAAATTAAGAACAGCATTGCTAGTCTTATGCGTTCATTTTTTTTAACAGAGGGTCAGGCTTATGGTAGACCATAGGATTGCATCACAGCTAAAACAGCTTATTGTGCACCCTCATTAACAGATCCTCATTCTCCGTCAAACCCCATGTCTTATCCCCCTCCTAAAAGAAAAATTTTTCTTTATTGATTTTCATTTCAAAACAGTTGTAAGTTAATTGGCAAAAATTAAACCTAAACAAAACTGAACTAAAACTTTCACAGATAATAAAATCAATAAAAAGAAAAATTTTATTTCCAGACTCTAGTAATGTTCCTTACCCTGAAGCTGTCTCAGATATTCATGATCAGCTGGGGTCAAATGTTTTATCTTCTGGTAGCATTCAATAGTGAACACAATTTCCTTCAAGGAGCTTACAATCTGAAAAAATATTATCATAAAATGTCAGACAATATTGTTTTCTAAAGAAAAGCGATTTATATGCTACTGAATAACCAAGTTTATCAAAAATCCTGTGCTCTATTTTAAAATAAATAATGGAAAAATCCTACATAGATACAATAGTTTAATATCTTTTATATTTATATTTTGCTATTTTCTTTTTGTGTTAATTACAAATTCTTCTTATTCCTCTTCCAGCCAAATAATATTTAAACATATCATGTCTACCTTTTAAACTCTAAAAAGAAGAAATAAAGAAGTATACAATCCTGAAATGCTAAAGTAAATCAATATAATATTATGAATTGAATAAATTTGAAATTTTTTCACAGAAACATATTAATTTTTTAAATTAGAATTTGTTATGCAAAATGCATGACAGAAAATTACATTGAAGCCCTCGCAATTCAAATAACTTTGTACAGTTACATTTATATAAATTATATTTCTACTGAGTTTGTGTGTGTGTTTTTTTACTTACCAGATACAATTTACGGAGTGTCCGTGTAAGGTTCTCCCCCACTTGCAGCTTGGCCACCTCCAGCTCCTCACAGAGATTGACCCCTTCATACGTCAAGTAGGAAATGATGTCATATGAGAGAACAGGACTGGCAAATAAAACCAACATGTAGTGATACAGTAATGGAGCACTGAGTGGACCTAGATTTCAGATTGAAACATTCATTTGTACTCAAAAGTTGATAAAAAACAGTCAATTAATTTGCAAAATCAACAGTTTTTTATCTCTTTAGAGAGAAAAGCCAGATTGACATTCCCACTGTGTATCCTCTAAATTTGAACTCTGTTTATGATTATTTCAATTCATAAAATAAAATTTTAAGCTTTTGTGTGATGTAAAAATAAAAAATCAAATGTGTAAGTGTTGTGAAGCAGCTCTGTGGCATTGGACTTATTGCAAAAAGGCAAGCAGTCACATTTTCTAAAAAATGTGAACAATGCTAGTGATTTCACAAGTTCGTCCACTAATGGGCTTGTCTTTAATGTGTATGACGTATGAACTCATGAGTCACTTTTACTCATTTTTACATCCAGTTTTCTTCATTCACATCCACCAACTGTCAACGGTTTTCAATGCAGAAAACTGAGAGAGAGCATAGATTTTCTCTTACATTGTTATCTACTGCAATAAGACTAATCGTTTTGGGATTGGGTCAGGCTGGAAAGATAATGGGATAGTTAAAGAACACAGCGCTGAAATCACATTTGATAGATTTGTTGGCTGGTACTTATTGGAGACCTTAATTTACCCACAACCCTCATATTTTCACTCAATCTTATCTCTACTTTCTACTGGGTCGTACAAGACAAACAAAATAATGACCTGATCAACTCCAGGTCCAGCTCCAGTAGAGTTGCGTATCTAAGGAAGTACATGATCAGCCAGGAGAAGTGTGACGTGTCCATGTGAACCTCTTTGTTGGTCAACACGACGGTCTTCAGTTCTGTCACTAGACTGCCGTAGCCCTTCAGAAGCAGGTCGATGGTGAACTCCTTCAGCAGCTGGGAGATGTCCTCCTCATTGGGAGTGTGGTTCAGGAACGTCTTGATGTTCAGCCTGAGGAGTTGCAAGGGTAAGCAGTGAAAACCCACATGCATACTTGGTGTATCATAAAGTAACTACTGTACCAAAGTTAGAATTAAAAATCTGTCAGAAACAAACTCTTGAGATATCGTTACTCAAGACCATACAAAGTGGATATAAGAGCTACTTGGCTCAAAAGCCAAGGCTTTCTTTAATTATTTAAGTGTCAAATACATTATTACTGTAACTGAACACACTAAACCACCAAATTGCTATTTAAGTTGTAAGGGCAGCGTATTTCAACCAAAATGTAAAGTTGTAAAATATTCTTGATTTCTATACAAAGATTTGTGAAAGGTTTTCTGACATCAATGTGTAGGGTTTGAACTACTAAAGTTCAGAATGGCTCAATATACTATGTATGCCAGTTGTTAAAAGTGTAAAGAAAAATTCGAAGGTTGTCCTAATGGATTAGGAATTTGAATTATTTTTACTTTCTCAACCAAGTATTGCTTTTATCAAAATTATCGAGTTTGAGTTTTAGGTGGGTATATCTGTTTTGGGTCCCCCTGAACCCAAAAAGTGGTTAACAAAGTGTGTGTATGAGTATGTGTACACAACTATGGTCAGGGTTGTTACGTTTGGTTAAAGAAAAATCGGGACGGCCCCCTCTCCCCAGAATAAACACAGGCAAAAGGGCCCAAATTCAAGACCCCCTGACAGAATGGGGACAGAATGAGGGTGATTTCTATATAAAAACCCATAAAATTACAAAAAAATACTAGAACTATTTTTATTAATATTTAGATTGTTGTAGTTCATTTAACTCTAAACAAGCTTGTACAACCCCCACTGTTAAACAAAAGTATGATTCAAAAGTTATTGCAACTTTTGTGATTTCCCCATAAAATCACATTGATAATCCAACCGCTTCCACATTGTCATATAATTCCTTTCTATCTGTACATTGAAACATCTGTTCAAATGTTTAGAAATTGTTTTTGTTTACTTTGTGTTAGTTGGTTCACAAAACGGCACACAGAAGATTTCTCAGGTGCCGTTTGACGTCACTAACTGCTGACAGCTGACGTCAATTAGAGGGAACACCATTAGCGCAACGATACGAATGTGAACCATCGGCCTCGATGGTGTAGTGGATAGCGTGTCAGGCTGAAAATCCGAATGTACCGGGTTCGAATCCCGCTGGTAGCAATAACTTTTTGTCAACAATTTTTTTCATATCAGCAAGTTTGGTTGGTTTGGTTAGGTTATGACAGTTTAATTTTATAATTAAAAAATTATAAAATTGAATTTTAGGCATTTATAATTTTATTTTATAAAAAAACTATTTTTTAGATTAGTAAACCTTCATTCGATTTTTCCATTTTCAGCACGTTTGGTTAGGTTATGACAGTTTAATTTAATAATAGAAAAATTATAAAATTGTCTGTTTCTTCAGACGCAGCAGTTAGTGACGTCAAACTGCACCTGAGAAATCTTCTGTGTGCCCCACCGAGTTGGTTCATATTGTAAACTTTTATATCATGCTAGATTCTTTGTTCAATAAAACCTAACTAAAGGTAATTTCGTTTTATAATGGTTTTATTCATTCAATCTACAACACACATGATAATGGTTGTTGACAAGCTAATCAGAGAAAGTATGTATCAGATTGCTGATAGGTACCATTTATTTTATTTTATTTTCTAAACTAAACATTGATTACAAACACTTACGTAGTGGTTTTGCTACGTTTGATCAATTTCTCCCGGCGCAGGTCTTTTCTTGACTGACTGGTCATGGGAACCTTGCCATTTATGTACCGGCTTTTCTGGATCATGTGAAGTGGTTTTTGGTGAACTTTTTTCTTCTTTCCAAACCTTAAACAAAATCGAATTTAATTTTTTCCCCTACTAAGATATTGAAATCGATAAACAAAAGCACAAGAAGTTTTTTGATATTTTTTTTTTTTGTAGATATAATTGGCTAGATTTGTCATAAAATTTTAAAAATGTCAATTTAATGGCATGTTTTTAAATTTAGATAGAACTAAAAAGGAGTGTTCCTTGTACAAATGATTAAGTACTTTTGATCAAGGCTTATCAAATAATTTTGAATGTGTAAATCTCCTTTGAAAATGTACCTGTTAAGATTAACACTTTCTAACTCTTTCTAAAATTTTGCCTTCAGGTTTGCGACAACCAGAGTTGTTGTATTTCACAATAATTTTTACTCTAAAAAAAGATGCCTGCTAAGTTAAAAGTTAAATGTTTTAAAGTTAAAATCACTGGATAAGGTTTATTATTCCGTCCCAGACTTTTTAGCAGACACCTCCTTGGGCATAGTAATAATAATAATAAAAATCTTTATTTGTCATTTGCAAAGTCATTGCAAGTCATTGTGTTGCTATTGTAAATGTATGTTTTATGTATGAACTACTAGCTGTAACCCGCGGGCTTTGCCCCGTTTAACTTCTTAATTTTTAAGATTATCTCGTTCGCATGGCTCAATTACGTCCTGGTTGAAGTTTGTTCGCTACGCTCTTACTCCTAAGCACTTTATGTAACGTTTATTTTTGTATAAATAAGTTGATTTGATTTGATACAATTCCAGTGCCAGATGAACTATAGATTGAATAAGAGGGTCAGAGAGTCAGGTTAGAGTGTGCAAGGTTGAACTAGAGTCGATTATCTAAAAAAAATAAGAATTGGGGTGTTTGGACAACAGAGGGTCTAAGTGACACCAGTGATCATCTCCCGCGATCATAGCAACACTTGTTAGTATATCTTGCGACCTTGGTGATGCGGCATCATAAAACATCCTTCACAGACCAACAGTCTCTACCTGCAGGGCTCCTTATCCTCATTGCTGGAGGTAGAGATTGTCTCCTGGTTCTGGATGTCACAGCCACACTCTGACAACTCAGGCAAGCCACAGTCCATCATCTTGAGACCTTCCCCACTGGCATGAGACTCACTGCCCAGACTGCTGCCCAGCCCACTCTCAGACGTGGTCCAACTCATCTTCACCTCCTGTAAACCAGTCACTTCTGTCATTGCTCTGATTCGTCCTTGCCAGTATCATATATTTAGTTATGTATACTTAAAATAATCCATGTTGCGACGTTATCTAGTCAACTAGTGAATCACACATGAAATGACACATAGTACAAATGAAAACACGGTAAATGAATTATGAACTGAACATTAACGCTTCAGCCACTAAATCCGTTTCTGTATGAGAAAGCCTACGAGTTAACAGATTTTCTTTATGATCTAATTTGCAACTTTCCATTAGAGCCTAAATGTAGGTGGTTGAAACACATGAGTAACTGGTTACCTTGTTGCCACTGTGCTGGTCCTGAGGATAGTCCAGATGACGGGGCCTCACGGGATGACTGTTCTTGCTGTTCCCATGTTTGTTCCTCATGGCCACCTGCGCCTTGCGTCCAATACCATTGGCTAGGATCTCAGTCATTCGGTGTTGAGCCTGACAAATAGCAAGTAGAATTATTACAATGCTCACAGTCAAAACCAAGGAACAAAATTTGTCTTTACTTTTGCAACATACATTTCAAACTATTCAATAATAAATTATTATGTTTTAATTTTAATTTTTTTTAAGTTAATTCTTAGCTAAAATTACATATAAATAATTATTATTAATCAAAACTCTACAATACTAATGGCCTTTTTGGGATTTGGTGGAACTTAAACATTAGTCTGTACATGCAAGGTATACTCACAACCTGTTTGAGATGTTGATGCGGATGTTTAGCATTAATCTGAAGGTGTTTCTGGTGATCACTGTCAGAGGAGTCGGACGTTGGGTCGGATGTTGCCATGGAAGACGACCAGTCTCCTGACCCTTGGTCCTACAATAAGAATAATATTTTCATCAACACTGGTCCATACACAATACACTATGCATAAATAAAAAATACAAAACAGTAATATGAAAGAAGTTTTTAAGGTTTTTTTACAGTAGAATCTTGAGTAGCTAGAAGTAGAGTAGAATGCCTAACACTGTCGAATGCCATAGATAGGTCCATAAAAATACCAGTTGTACATTTTCCCTTATCAACCGACATCAATTACAGTTTCAATAAAAGATACAGCAGCACTCACAACCGATCTTCCATTCCGAAATCCATGCTGATTATCATCTAAAAGATTAAATTGTTCTAAAAATTTGGAAAATTGAATGTATACTGCTTTTTCATATATCTTAGAGATAGCAGGGAGCACAGATATTGGTCGGTAGTTAGATACATTTGTCAAGTTATTTTTCTTATGTAAAGGTATTATTTATTTACACTATTGCTCTTTCCCATTCAGGTAATCTATGTTTCATCCATAACCTCAAACTTTTGTCAAATTAAATAGGTAAAAATGTGCATGACTAATCGTGATTGGAGAAAAACTGCACAATTTAAATGGTTCATGTATTCTTTGTGAAAGTCTTGCCAAAGCAACATCAAGTTCTTATCGTTTTATCGTAACATTGGTAAACTCAATGTTACATAATAGACTTAAAAAAAAATAAGAACGTTACCTACAAATTATGTCATTGACTATTTCTTTTTTTTTTTACATTCATAGTTGAACTAAAGAAACATTTTTAAGAAAATACATTTCTAGTTGGTATACGACTGACCTGTGGTGATGTGTTACTCTCATCATCCTCCGAGCTCTCACTGAGCGCTGTGTCGCACCATATAGCCAACAGCTTGTGTATGATGTGACTGTGCTGGTCCTTGTACAACAGGGAGATCACCTGGACTAGAGTCACACTCCACAGAGCTCGGCTGTGACTGGTCATCAGCTGTATCAGCACCTTGTCTGCGTGCTGAGTAAACAGGTTCCAGATGATCTGGTTCTGATGTGAAGCTCCACCACCAGGAGCGCCACCTCGCACTTCGGGGATGTGCAACAAGTTGCGCAATAGTTGTAGACACTTGTGGATGCTGGTTGCTCCTTCTTCGGAGACCAGTTGCTGTTTTATAAAGAAGATAAAAATAATTAGATGGCAAGAAGCGTATACATTGTAATCCTAAGTTAAGGTATTTACGGTTATGGTGTTTGCTTAGCGATTTGAAAAAGTGCTAGTTCAATCCTGAGAAGTGAGAAAAACATTAGCTTTTTGATGGTTTCAAACTCAACCTCGCTGTCTTTGATCATTGGGTCTCTAATAAATTACCCAAGCTAAAGAAAAAGGGATATTCGAACTCATCCTTCCTTCAACGTTTGCTTTAAAACTTGCACCAAAATCTGTTGGCATCATATAAATCCATTCTGTCTTTGGCAGAGGCCAATTACTGTGTCGTCAAAAATAGCCGTTATTGACCTGTTAATAAAATAGAGAGACAAATGAATACAATTATACATCAGAGAATTTTTCAAATATCAGATCATTTTTCATGTTGTAGTATGATTTTTGTCATGCCTTTGGCATAGCTTGTTAGAGTGCTTTTCAAACCTTTTGAGAGAGAATTTTGACGTCGATTTTGAAGAGCATTACGACATACCTTTTTATTAGAGAGCACCTTGACATAGTCTATGACACTCTTCGTGGCCAGTGGGTTGAGGAAGGCCTCCTTGCAGGCAGTCAGCAGCCAGTTGAGCTGACAAATGGTGCTGCGACCAGCGTCTTCCTTGATCATTATGTCAATGGGAAACAAACACTCCACAGGTATCATCAGGTTCTCCAGAATCCTGCAAAAGGAAACTTGTGTTTACAATTTGAACACAATTATAACACAAACTTATAGCTTTTACTATTTAACTAGACATTTCATTCCCATGTTAAAGTTGTCGCCTGTTTTTTTAACAAAAACTAGTTCATGTGAGCCACTGATAGATTGCGCTGATCTTAACCACTGATTTCTGTTGAATACACAGACTTTTTAACAAAGTTAAACCAATTTAATAACTTATGGTGAATTATAGGAACTGTTATGACCCATCAACTTGGTCAACAACAATAAATAAGGTAGAAAATGGAATTTAGGACCCTAGTGTATTCTGTGACTGGCTCACACAACTAATGTTCTTTTTTGAAAAATTGCCTACAGCTGGTCCATGTAGATGGGATGTCTACTTCAGCATCCAAAAGTCAATGATTATAGCTTAGAATAGTTTTGTCAACAATAGTAGTCTTGGAAAAAATTGACTAACTAGCAGACTGGTAAAGAAGCTTGTTTATATTTTTACATTTTCACCTGTTGATGCACATATACTTGAGTTTAAGATGTAAAAGAACAATCCAATGGCAACAGTACACCGATGTAGAAATCGATTGATTTGTTTGAGGAACAAAGTTCATTTAATACCACATTGTTTAAAAACTTTACTGAATATGTTTCACAAAATAGTGTTTTATAAAATTAGTAGAGTAAGGAAAAGTGCTGGCAAAACACATTTCCGTATTTTTCAGTCAAGGAATTTGATATTAAGCTTTTGTAGAACTTATGTTTCCAACATTGACACAGAGTCTATGCCATACACTGTGTCTCCTGTTTATTAGTTAGTTTCCTGCATTGCTCCTTCAAACCAGTTGCTCCTTTAGCAGCACTATAAGTGCTGGGGGGTCATAACTATGAGTGCTGCTAAAGGAGCAACAAAAGGAGCAATGTATGCATTGTTTGCTATTGCAATTCAATGTTTTAAAAGTTAGGTTTTTAATCACCACCTTACTTTACTTGAAGCCTAGTACCCTTGTTCATAACACAACAGTGTTTTGTAAAATGATATTAAAAACTTGTATAATTTATTATTACTTACTCAATTATTAAATCCAATATTTTATAATCATTCTTGACATTGTAAAATAGGGGTAGAAGGTCCTGAAAGTAAAAAATACACAAAAATTAACATACACCAACAATATGCACATAAAAAATCAACGATAAAACAAATATGGAATACGTCTGTATTACTGTATACACACTAATAATTATATTTGAAATACTAAGTCTAGCCAATGTAAAGAACAAGTCTAAATACTGCATAAAATAATACATTTTTACACTATTAGATTGTTGTAATTTATCAAACCTCCTGATTACCGTACCTAAATACCATTAGAATTTGCAAGTAAACCTTAACAAAAACCTTCATTGTGTGACAATTTCTTAAATGCAATCCTTAAGACGTTTACAAGGACTTAGCCTATGTAGGTTATACTTTCATGTCCTAGGACATATTATAAATAATAAGACGTTTCATCAACTTATTGTCTTGCTGAGAAGTTTTGTTTAGAAATCGGTACGTCTCAAAATGTGAGACTTACATTTTGTTTTTACACTTATGGAGCCAATGTCCTGTTTTACAAGCAGATTAAGGGGCACAATCTTACAAAATAAAATTCAGTTCTAAGTACAAACATCCAGCAGCCCATCAAAAAAGATCGGTGCTGAAATTGCAGCAAAATTATATATTCTAATAAAGTTTCCCATGAAACTTGGACCCTACACTATTAGCATTTAATTTTTACCATTTCATTTAAATTATTTAAAAAATTTACTATCTATTTTATACTTCAATTCCTTCTTACCTTTTTGATAACTTGTGAATTTGCAATGAGTCGTCTAAAGCCCCGTACATATTTGTCTTCTTTGTATAACCGTGTCAATATTTCTTCCAAGGTTGCTGAAACACATGTTAACTTTAATAGATAGTAAATACAACAGTAACTAACTGTTAAGCTGTCACTAATGAATGTAAAATACAGAAGTGAGGTGGTGCTAGTGTGGGAAGAATCTGCGAATGACAGGGAAAATGTGGGCTGGTTGGTTCATAAGCTCGTCGACACAAAAGAATCCTTATTTTGTATTACTTAAATGTACAAGCTATGTTACCCCCGGCCATCACCCTGTTTGACTTCATAGGTTAAAACTATTGATTGGTTCTGTTACCTTAAATCTGAAAAAAAACCAAAACAAAATACAGTAATACAAACAAATAATCACACCTGATTTTAATAAGGTACAAATTGAAAGAATAACAAACAAATAAGTACAGATGAGGTATATTTAAAATTAGGTATATGGAAAGTTCCCTTTAAAAAGGAGTTACGACCTGAACATTTTAAGTACTATGGTTTATGGGGGGTGTGACTTGCAGTTTTCTCAAAAGTTCATGGGTACTTTGGGATTTATATGTGGATTATTACTCTGAGGTATTACTTATACAAATATATTACTTATATATATTTTTTAGAGGTCTGCGAGGCTGATATTTTAAAACGAACCGAGTCTAAGCCAAAGGTTGTGAGAAAAAGCCCAAGCCTCAAGCTTTTTCTATTATGAATTTTGGTACGGTAATTATGAATGGTAAATTAATCAGGCATTGTCAAAAACTTGTTTTCAAAAGTGCAACTTAGTTCAGATTTAGTAATGCACAAAATGTAATTATGTATTTTTTTTAGTAAAGATAAGGATCAAACAAGAAACTAAGTCTGTAATAAATTTCAACTCTTTATGAAATTGTTTTCTTCAAGAGGCTATTTTTTCCTAAAATTAGTGGGGTTATAGACAAATAATACAAGTAAATATACAAATAATAAATAACAATTCCTACAATAAATAAAACAACTTATTGATTTTGTTAAACATTTGAAGTGAACTAACTTAGCATAAAAGTTATTATAAAATGTATATTGTACATAAAATAAAGAGAGGTATAGGTATTTTTTTTATCAAAATATATATTTCGGGAGGAGTAGAAAATTTTCCATTTAAAATATTATAGGCCAGTAGGTCTACCTCAAATCCTCAAATGAAAACTAACATGAGTTTAATTTCAGTTTAAAGCATGTCGGATTTTGTCACCAGTAAAAAAGCAATTTTAAATTTAGCAAATATCATAAATCTTGATTCTGCTGTAATTTCAAGCACAATTACAATTTACTATAGTAATTGTGATGACTATCATGATCATTTTCATTATCATCACCCCAATTCTTAAAGTCACGAAAACATCGTATTTCGCGATAACGGTAAAATCCCCAGAGGCCAGTATCTCCCGCAGTAACAGAAACGTTATCATCATCGTCTTCCGCAAAATCCTGAATATCTCCAACATTCACGGAAACAATATCATCGGTGGCATAATCCTGAAAATCTCACCTAAGGTTATCATCTTCATCCACGATGGCAGCAAAATCCTGAATATTGCCCGCGGATTTGAAATCATCAACGTCTTCCTCGGTCACGGAAACCTTATAATTGTCATCCGTATAATCACAGCAAAAGCCTGAAGATCTACCGCGGTTTGTCCATATTATCGTCGTCTGAGGTCACGGAAATGTTATCATCGCCATCGCCCTCCGCCATATGGTAAATTCCTGAATATATCCTGCCCCTGCGGTTTTTCGACATTGTCGTGGTCATATCATTGACTATATACCACAAAATAGTCAGTTGTTACAACAGTAACAACAACTGATACCGTATAAACAGTTATAAATATACAAAATAGTCAACAGTTGTAGTATATAGTCAATGGTCATATCCACGATCGCGGCAAAATCCTGAATAATCGCCCGCGGATGTGAAATCATAAATGTCTTCTCCAGTCATGGCCCATGGGAACATTATAATAATTGTCATCCGCCATCAAGGTAAAATCCTGAATATCGCCCATGGTTTGTCAGCATTATTGTCGTCTCATGCCGTCATGGAAATGTAAATCATCGCCATCAGCGATCCAAAGACCTTTTAAAGAATTTACAAGTGCATAAAACCATTTACTATATAACACTAGTGTTATAACGTCGAAGATAAAACCTAAATAACTCAAATATTTTTTACTTAAGATTCAGGGCTATGGCCTACTGAGGAGGTTGAAAATAAATTAATGCAAACAACTTACAACAGGTAAAAATAAACCAAGTGTAATTAAGTTAAGCTAATCTGTGGTGATTGATATCCCTGCAAGACTTAACTTTAAAAAATAGAACCAAGTTTTTTGGATTTTTGGATTACTCTCTGACTTCATTTCGAAGGTATCTTTTTAATATTTATTGTATTTTACATTTTAAATAATTTGTTTTAAACATTGTTTTTTGTTTGTGTAGTACTGATATTTTGTTATAAAATACAGTATTGAAAAACGTGCTACAATGAACAGGGAAGTAATCTTACCTTGGCAGTCATCTCCTATTATATAATCTTCTCCGATTGGACAGCCAAGAGCTGCAAATAGGGAATTAATTCCCTGTGTCGACATAACCACTTCCATCTTGAATTGTCTGAAAATATAATACAAAAGTTTAATTCACAAGGATACAAAGTTTAGGGTCAGAGCTACAGAAACTGTACCACTGGGTTTGATAATATAGAATCTTTATAATAGGTTATCATATAATTTGTGTACACATAAAAATATTTTGCTTTGGAATTTCCTCCTTAAAAATAGGCAGACATTAAGTAAACAATAGCTAAAATACTAAGAACTATAATTTAAGGGTTACTCGACAATTTTGACGTCCACGGTGCATGGCCCAAGAGGATTTTAAGACGAGAATGAGTCTATTTAGGACAGGTTCGTGGTGATCCGAATTAATATTTTTTACCAGTCATTTCGATATTTTTGCGTTCTCTCTGAACAAATGAATCAATGAATTAGATAACTAAATGTGATATTTTATAAATTGGATTATCGGTGAAGGCAAATAAAGAGTTATAGAACGAAATCCAAGAAATACAAATCAGCACTGCCACGGCGGAAATAGTCGATGACAACATACTACGCACATAAGACCTACTACCTAGGCGGAGTGAAATAACCGTGATGAAGTTTTTAAATTGCTCACTGCAGACAATTTACCATAATTTTTGTAATAACTGTTTAACATTGTTTTTAGCGAATTTCCCATATAGGGAATAAGCTATTACCGTAGTACTCATGGTAAGACCTGGACGCGGGACCAATTTTTTTTTCGTTTTGAGGTCCCTAGAGGCCAACAACACCATCCGTTCAAATTCATATATATATATATATATTTATATATTTATATATATATATGTGTGTGTCCGTCAGCACGATAACTCGAGCAAAAATGATCCGATTTTGATGAAATTTGGTACAAACGTGTAAACGTACGTTTATTCGAACGAGTTTGCGATCCAGCATGATCGGACTATGGGAACGGGGGTTTACGGGGGGTTTTATGGTGTAAAAATAGGTTTTTCCCATTTTTGACCCAAAAAACATAAAATTTAGCAATTTCTTTCCAAACCATTTTGTAGAGCTTCAAAAAACAAATAATTTAGTATATTGAAGCGTTATTATGCGCCTAATGGTTACGGAGAAAATTCCAAAAAATTGTAAATTAAAAATTCCCATGTTATTCTTATCTATACTATTATATAAAAATCTGATGGTGTCTGTATGTGTATTACTAATAGGTGCAAAAACTACAGAACCAACTGGGCTTAAATTTTACAAAAATATAGTTACCATACCAAGGACCATTATAGGACTATTCACATTTCGATACTGACCATAGGCTTTGCCCCTTTGGCTTTAAAAGTTCTGAGGTGAACATTTTAAAAGTAAATATTGATTTGTCTCCATGGCTGCGATGAGAACACTAAAAATGTTTGTTTACATTTGCTTTGACATTTAAACGTAAACAAACAAGAAGAACTGCTAAACTGCATATTTCACAATTTCAGACAGCTGATACAATGAAATTAAATATAATATTTCCCATAAGGTAGGTTTATTTTAATCTAACCTTTTATCATGGATTATTTATTCTAAAACTACTGTATGTCAATGATTATAAAAAAAGATTCTATAACCGTTGCTGTATTAACTCCGGCTCTGCTTTGGATTTTTTAAAGTGTCTAAGTTATGAAAATAATGTTATTGGTATATGAAAATTACAATGTATAGATGTTTTGTATGAATTTGGAGGCTACTTAAAAATTCGAACTGCTTAACATGTGTTCGATTAACTTAACATAACTTGCAAATCACATTGTTTTTTATATATATATTTAGGTAAATTGAGTGATTGTGTTTTGCTAAACCTATGCTTAAATTAAACTAAAGAATATCATCAATAACTAAATTGTACGTTGTTGATTTTTGTTTTCTAAAATTTGTTGTATATGTGTAACTATATTTAATTATCAAATCGTAATAATACATACTCTTATTTTATCTTAACATAGTTTTCAGTTCACATTAACTTTATTTGATACATTTATTATTTGTGTTTTGCCACACCACTGATTAAATTTAACCAAGGAAAATATCATAAAACCATTAAGCAGTACACAGTGTTCTTTTTGTTTCTAAAATCAATGAAATATCTGTTACTATGTTTACTTAATGGTAAGTGTGAAAATATAAAGGCAATGGACGATGCAACTGATTAAAAGAACTGGTTTGTATATTAGGTTGTTTGTTGGTATTTTTGTAGAGTAGAATCAGAGATGCAATAAAACATATACTGTATTTGCTATTACATTTTTTAGTCCTTGATGCTTTGATAATCATATTAGTTTTATCTGCTGTCTTTAATGCTAAATTATTTGTTTTAAATTTTTTATAGTACCTATAGATATAGTTTCTTTAATATTTCAAAAGACTGTATTGATAAGGCACAGCAATATTTCTAAAGTTTATAACAGCTGACTTAGTTTTGCTAATGATTTTTTGTGAGTGAAGAAACTGAAGATGGAAAGATTTGTGATTTAATATAAAAAAGAGTGAAATTAAAAAAAAAGTTCATTTAAATTTAATAATTAATTAGTATTTTTGCAACTTCGAAATTGAAATTTAAAATGTCAATAATAAATTAAAATATATATAATTAAGGGAGATGAAGGTAAATCATGTATGTCAAAGTTTTATTCGAAGATTTGGTCAGTTTTTCTCATATCAGCCTACACAAGATTTAAAATTAAGCATAAACCAAAATGGTGGTATCCACTACTTACCAGATTTAAAAGTCATAACTTAAACGTTTCTATTAAGGCTATAAAAGTTGATTTTTGTTTCTAAAAGCATTGGAGGATGTGTAACTATTATATATGCAACAGATGTAAAGATTAAAATGTTTCTATTTTGTGTCCTCTTCCCGTTGCAAAGCACGGGTACAACAGCTAGTGGAGAATAAAGTAAACTGTTGTAGTTTGCTTGTTTGTGAACATATTTTGATCAAATTTGGAAAATGTTTTTATTTCTTACTAACAATTCACATTTTACAAAAAAAAAACAGTTTTACCCTCCCTGATGCAGCAAACCTAAGTACTTGTTAAACTAATTCTATTTAAATCAAGAATAAATGTTATATTTTTAAGTAGACATTTCAGTGTAAATCCAATCAGTCAAATGGAAATTCGCTTAGTCTGCAGGTTTGCTGCGGCGGGGGTATTTTAATTGCCAAACGCTAATATTACCTTCTTAGGACCGCAGTCCGCAGGCAAACTTTCACGTGAAGCGCGAGGACGTATGCCTAATGGACGTAAATAAGTATGGTATATCGCACCGCTACCGCTCCGGAAAGGAGATACGATAAACATGCAACAACAAAACATCAGATGTCAAAAGCGGAAAGAACTAACTTACATGTAAACTTATTGGCATAAAACAATTGAACTGGCAATAATGAGTGTGGCTTACAGTTCGAATTTGAGTTTGTGGGTTTATTTGCTGTTTTGTAGGTTGCAGAATGCATCATCACCGTATGAATTTCTGAACCGTGCTTGTTGGCCTTAAAATGTGATTTAAAATGCGTTTTTGTCCCATTTTCACATTCTAGAACGCGTGTGCTCCCGCTATCTCCCCGTTCCGCCACCTCCGAATTCTTGAGTGACCCTTATAATACCGTCATTGCCTGCGTTGGTAGCTGTCATTGCATCCACGGCTGCAAATCCCCGTGGATGGAAGATTTAATGAAAATTTAACCCGTGGGTTAGGTTAGGTTAAGTTAGGTTAGGTTAGGACGGAAAGTCTTAACGCATGTAGTAACCGAGGATTATAGGGGTCACTCTGAAATTCGGAGGTGGCGGGACACGGAGGTGGCGGGACGCGGAGATAGCGGGAGGTAACCCCTAGAACGTACCCTAGCTAGCCGGAACCGTTTTACAAATTACCTCAGGCAATGCCTAGATCGTTGCTTCATTGTCACAAAGAAAACACATCTATTGGTGATTTGTGGGATTTGAACCCGGGACCGGAGTCCCGCGCTCTACCATACTAGACAAACTCATTCATGCTGCAGCTTGCTCCCATTTATAATACTTCTAATTATATTTTGATTATAGAACAACAATTATGATTTGTTTCATTAGTGTTTCGTAACTTGGCTGATTGAGAAATCAATACGGTAGGCCTGCGGATTATTAACATCATAACAAGTTACACAACGACAGAAGTCCTGACATCCAATATGGAAACCATTAGCCTAAACTCAAGATAGTTTAATTGATCTGGCGTTAAAATACATGATTTAAAATAATGATCTTGGATTCCAAAAATGTATAGCTAAAATACGTAAACATCAACCTTGCTGGTTTCGGTTTTACCGATTTTTCGTTTTCACTAGAGTTATTTTTTCTGTGAAGCACCCTCAGTAGTTATGCTCTTTTAATTTAAAATATATTATAATGATTTCATGCAGTAGGCCTATAAACTGCATAAATTCCTTATTATTTCATCTCATAACTCGTGGAGTTAACAAAGCGAGTTACAAACAATAGCTAATTATCACTTTGTAAGATTTACTAGGGTTTTAGAAAATACTCAGTATTCTGTACTCATGTAAATTTAATATAATTTACTTGAGATACTCATTAGTCATGGGTAGTATCCTTTCATTTTACTTTTTCAACCTTAACAAAATTTATTTATCTCTCTCAAGGAATAAAGATTCAAGACTGTATAATCACTTATACAACAATTCCGAATCCAAGCGCACGTCCGTGGACAAAGAGGACAATAAAAGAAGGAAAAGAACAGAGACCTGTCAAGTACATCTGATCAGAAGGCATCACGTGGTGCGGCCACGTGACCGACGTCGTGATGACGTCAGCGAGCCTCGGCAATATTGTCATTATATTACGACATGATAAAATTCCCTCTTGACATATCTAACTGCGTTCCTGCGTGTGTATGACATATTGGCCACTGTGTTAGTGGGTAGTGTAAGTTGTTTTACCTAATTCTATGTGAATTTTACTGACGAAGAAGAGTAAAACCTCTTTAAAAAATTTCCTTCCGTTTGCAAAATTTAATTTACGTAATAATGTGACAAATTAGAGAAATAATTATGCCGTAATAGCTTTATCTTGAGATAGGCCTACCATAATGCAAAAACATTAGGACGAAATTGATTAGGAAAAAATAATAAAAACACCGTTACCAAATTTGAAACTAAAGTTTTTACTACGGTACATTATACATTATTACATTATTATTATACATTATTATTACATTATTATACATTAGTACATTATTAGGGCGATTTTAGATTTTTTTTAATACGCTAAACGGTATTTATTATAATTCACTCCAACAATGTTATTTGACCGATTATATAATATTCTGAACGTTTCCACCACAATTAAGAGACTAGGGAAAATGGTATAGCAACGCTTATCGATATTGTACGTCTACTGGGGGCTCCTTAGTTCATTATAAAACTTAGTGATTAACTAAGACAACGAAGTAATATTGTAAACTTAATGAGAGCGACATTGATGTGTAGTGGGGCCACTAATACCCTTACACGTTTGTGCCAGAAATCGTAATTCAGTTTCAATCACGTTATTGAATACACTTTGAATGCTATATGGCACAAAATTGTAATTGTTCTTCATCTACATTCTCCAAACCGTTCATCAACGACACGTGCTTGTTTTTTTTCAGATATGTGTACACAAACCTCAAAGCAAAATAAAGAAAGATCCGACCAGTGTAAAATAAGCTACAGCACACATATGGATCAAAATCGTAGAAAGCGTTACGCAGATTGCGCGAAAAAAACACGATTTTGCCGCGATCACGAATCCACGATGTCGCCGTGAACGCGGAGACGATGATGATGATGACTCTGTGACCGCGATGTGTTAACGACTTCGCCATGGTTGCGGGAGAGAAAGATGAATATTTTATGAACCAATAGTAGTACTGTATAAGAATCATTATTTTATCATTTAAATCTGCAGTTCCTAAACAAATTTTTAAGTAATTGTAAAGGTAGAAAATAGCACATGTTGTTGACCGAGTCTTTCGCAATCTTTTCCATGAAATAAAATAAGTTTTAGTAGTACCTCCGTTCAGCAAATGTACTAGGATATAACAACACTATGTATTGATATTGTTGTCTGGTTTGTGTTGTGTTACTAAGCGAGTTTCGCATTGCCTGATTAATTTTTAATTAAAAATTTCATTTAAAATGTCAGATTTAAGTTATATCTCTTGTTGGAAAATATAGGTTATTGTTCTTACCGGTTAAGGCTACATAAGGGATACAAATAGGCCTATACCCTGTCTTTTTTCATTTGTTCATTAATGAAACATTTATTTCAAATTCGTTGGCAGTGTACAATGTTTATGGTGATGTAGCCTATACGTGGCTTATGATGAAGACGCAATCACTCTTCTTCTTTAATGAAGGGATTTTTCAGGTAAATATGAGGTTTGAGGGTGAAATCTCTGCAAGTCCCACTCCCCGGAGCCAGATACCAACCGATTTTAGGGGGTAGCGGATTTCTACCCCCGGATATTTACCCCCATGAAAAAACGCCTACGTCATTTTGACGTCACGAGGGGCGGGGCCTATACACGATCGAGAAACTGCCCGCGACTGGAAATCTACCCCCGGACATCTACCCCCGGACATCTACCCCCGGAAATCTACCCCCGGACATCTACCCCCGGAAATCTACCCCCGGAAATCTACCCCCGTGGTCAGCTACGCTACGTATCGGCCAAGATGCATTGTTGTAATTGATTTTATTAATTGGTTTATGTAAATAAACGGCTCTTCGGTTATTCATTAGCTTCTAATATCCAGTATAAAGCATGCGATATGTCGTTGTCATGTTTAACATGTACATCGAATAGGTACAGTATTTTACACGTTTGATTTACTAAATAAGGTTATAACAAATAACATTTATCTTATGTTATTGGAATTAAAACAACTACAAGATTATGCAGTTTTAAAAAACTAGGTATTCTGAAATCAATATGTTTTTTTTTCTAAATATGCTATTATGATAATGCTTTCTTATTATTTACTTTAAAATATTTTTGATCATATCATCGTTTTGGTGACATACCTGTTGCGTTGACTGTTGTGTTGGCAACGACTTGGGGTATATAATTGCCCAAGAAGAATAAAGTATTTTTTGAGTTTTCGTTTTACAAGAAAAAAAATCATTTGCATAATAAGCTAATGAATAACCGAAGAGCCGTTGACTTACATAAACCAATTAATGAAATCAATTACAACAATGCATATTGGCTGATACGTAGCGTAGCTGACCATGGGGGTATATTTCCGGGGGTAGATGTCCGGGGGTAGATGTCCGGGGGTAGATGTCTGGGGGTAGATGTCCGGGGGTAGATTTCCAGTCGCGGGCTGTTTCTCGACCGTGTATAGGCCCCACCCCTCGTGACGTCAAAATGACGTAGGCGTTTTTTCATGGGGGTAAATATCCGGGGGTAGAATTCCGGCGACCCGATTTTAGCCTTTCAAAATACTGGGTAATTTATACTTCATCTCTTCATCCACATAGCTAAGCTATACAAAACAAACCGTATTGAGTTGAGTTTGTTTGTAGGAAACTTGGTGGAATTATTACGGTATTTTTTAGCCCAAAATTTAAATATCGTATGACCCCATTTTTTGAGCACGATTCTGCACCCTCTGGCGCTCTGCTCATTAGAATCTGTGGCAAACGCTATTTTACAATCTTTACAAACTTTGTTAAGTTAAGTCAACAACAAACCCCTTAGTAGGATTTATTTGATTAAAAAATGTAGAGTAGCATCAAAAGTTTGATATAACGGTAGGTAGGCTATAGGTTTATACTCAATGGCTATAACCAACACTAATAGGTTACCGTATAGAAAAGTTCACATAAATTGTTATTAGACAAACTATGTATAACAATACAATAACTTATATAGCCTATGTCAGGAAAATGTTTATTTTCGTTTGTTTGGTAAAAACTATGACATCATGGTCTAGAGTCAATTTTAGCTTAGAAAATAGGATAAAATCAATATATAACCTTCAGATTTGAATGTAAGCACTAAGTTACAACAACTCGAACACCTAGACAAAGTTTAGAGGCAACTTATAAAAACCTTAGCATTTTAAGATTGAAATTTTTAATTGTAGTATAGGTACTGCTAGACATTACATAGCAAGGTAATGTTACCTAGGTTAGTTAGGTAAGTCGTCACTTTCTAGAGTGTCATGCATAATCTACTAAAGAATCTTGAGAATATAGAACAGTTTTTGGGACTTTTTTTATTTCTACTGTATTGCCATAAAAGACTTTAACTTAAGTTAGGTTTGGTTCTCCAGCTAGTGGTGCTCTATAAATTATTCTTCAACGCTTTTGAGGGTTAACCTTACAATGGGGAAAGCAAGTTATTTTACAACATGACAGAGGGGGATGGACATTTCTTTGGGTTTCTACGAAAATAATACCACTGATGATTTCTTTCATAAGGTCAAGCAGTATTGGTTCAAATAGTGCTATAACTTGATGATAAGGTATATAAAATACACAATATATCCTCTCATTGTTATAGCCGGTTCCGTGTAGGCCTAATTAATTCATTGTATGCGTCAGATAACATTAGGCCTAATTAATTATTGACCTTTTCTACACTTCCACTTGGTACACCAACACGTTAGTACTTCTGTTTGATCATGACATATCCAAAACACTTACATGCAATCACATATTTAAAATAGGAAAATAATAACAACAGACAAGAGTGAACTAGGCTAATTAATTAGCTATACAACATAGTGATGTTTGGCCTACCTTTTAAGACGGGTTGAAAACAATTATTAACTGGATTTTCTTCCGTTTACGGCGCATATGGTCGACATAAGATGTTTAAGAGAAATAAATGTGCTTTATTTCACTAATACACTAACTTGCATCACTAGTAAATTAATTAATAGAAAAACTTAAGGTTTCACACTTGAAATCTTCCAGTAACGTGTAACAATAACAAAGGTCTGCACTGGATCACGTGTAATAACAACGTGACTGACAGACTGACTGGGGGGGAGACTGATCAGTGAATCAGCTGTTTGCAAACACGCGCAGCTGACGTAGCTGGCAAAAGCCCGCGCAATTCAAATATGGAAAGTATAGCCTCAGAGTAATAAAACAAAAGTTTTGTTTTATTACTCTGAGGTATAGCCTATCCGCTAGCGCTAGATCTGAAATTGGTTTTATTTAGAAGAGTTTTAATCAATGGTTATAGATCTCTTGTAAAAATGTAAATCAAAATGTTCACAGACTAATTAAATTAAAAAAAAAATACTATTATTCCATAGTGTTTTTTCAAGCTACAATCAAAAATGATCAACAATTATGAACATAAACTTTATTTCCAAAAAAGGTAAACTAAATTAGATTAAATTCGGCACAGAAAATAATTTAAGTATGAAATAGTACGTGAGCATTTTGCTATCCCCATTCAGATATTTCTGGTTCAGTCTCAAGCCAGAAAAGTTGCCATCTAAAATTATACTTTTATACTTTATTAATGATGGAGTATTAGTGCACAGGCAACATAGAATCAAACAAATCTTCGTATCTATTCTGTGTACAGAGTTAGTTAGAAAGAGTTATACATATTACTTTTAAGTAATTGGGTTGGATGTAAGATGCTTAATTTAATCATACCAGAAAAACTCATTCAAAATCTGTTTGGATTTTCACATTTTCAGGACACAGATTCTGGAAAAGATGGGTTTGGAATAGGGTATGAGCATATAGCACTCTGAAATTCTCGTATATCTTAACCCAAAGCCTCAAATGAACTTTGTTAATTTATGAGAAGTGTTTTATCCATTGGTAATAAATAGAGATAAAACACAGCAATGATCAAATGCCCAAATGGAATATCTTCATCAATTATGTGAGACTGATGACCATACCATAGATAAAACATACTCCCTTAGACCATACTCAATTTCAAAGCATAAGTAAACCAGTATTGTTTAATTTTTTTTACAATCCTACACATGACCTGTATAAGGCTGTCAATATACACAAAATATTTTCTTAACACCTGGAAATCATTTCTTGTTCTTGCCATATGTTGTAGTCACTCCAAAAACATTATTACAAGTCGAAGTTGTTGTTTTCATGAGCTTGACATATGCAGCAAATGCTTACACATTTTTCTTTACAATTCTAAATTATGATTGGCCATACTTAACTACATATATTATTCAATGTACTACAACTTGACAGCTTGTATATTGTATTATTTGTGTTTATTAATTTAACTTTAAAGCTAGGCGATGTTCACATCAAGTTACAATGAAGATTTCAAATGGCCAGAAGCAACTGGCTGGGGTGTCAAGAAATGACCTAAAGATAGAAATTTTGAAGTTGGGGATACAAAAGGAATTGATCCTGTATACAGAAATAATGAAACATTGGCACAGTTATCAAGAGATTGTTTGACACCCTTCGACTTCTTATTACAACCAAAACCGATTGTTCAAACTGACCCACGTCAACCGCTTATTAAACCGGTAAGATGTGAAATTCAGCATATATTTTTAAGTAATTATTGTGAATTGTGGTGACATGAATATAGTGTGTTTGTGTGAAAACCTAACCTAGGATCAATCATTTCTTACAATCCAACCGGTTTTGGAACTTTTTAGGTTAAAATAGAAAACCTAATTAGAAGATTAGAAGAAATAATTAATAGAAAACCCGAGGCAACAAACACCAACATTGCTGTTTGAACATGTAAACAAAACTGGCTGAGCTAATGATGCTACACCAAAATGTCCCTTTTTTAACACAACACACCTATCATTTTTTTACAATACAATATAGTAGTAGCCTAGTATGCCCATATATGAAAATTAATTTATTCTGAATTGACCACAATATTTTTAATGTTCAAGGACCTACCACAAGATGATGGACGTGCCCGGTTAACTCGCCCCCGAGTCTACAAATGTCCAGAAATCTCCCTTGACGACATCAATGATCCCGAGATACGAGAGAAGGTCATTGACTTCACGTACTCTACAACATGGGGAGTAGCAAGCAAAGATACATGTGGTGTGATAAAGAGACAGGATATACCAAACAGTGTTTTGGAACTCCCTGATCATGTAAATCATATTTTTTGTACACGGTAACTTAGATTCCCATTTTATGTGTAGTTTGTTTCAATATCTGCAAAGTAGATAATTTTAAAGTTGGTTTAGAGAAAAAAGCATATTTTATTCCATATGGAAATAGAATTAAAAGAATATTATTATTGGTTCACTATTAAAAGAAGCAAGCATAGGAAAGCCAGAAGGGAAATGAGCATTAGGAAGGCCCAAGAAGAGATAGTGGGATTAGGGATAGTGTCTCCAACGACGTTGGAGAAGTTGGGGCAGCAGTGGAAGAGCTAGAAGATAGAGAGACTATGGAGAGTATTAATAATAATAGGTTAAATACCTTATTTACGTCTTCAATCCAAGTTGTCTTATTTGATGACTACAGTTTCGGGGCAAACAGCCCCATTGTCAAATCTTCTGTCTTGTTAATTATTACTGTTGAAGCATTGGTCGTTGAATTCCACACGTATACACACAATATGACACACGAAACATCTAAATTTACACAAGAGATTACAAATTAAAACTTTTTGGCCGGCCTAAACAAAAATGACTATCGTTGTGCGGACCGGTTTATACGGTACACTGAGTCAGATGTAATAAGATTTACCATGAATAAATATTTGAGAAGTATAACTCTACATTATTAGTTTATTTTCAATGTGGATAGAATGGTGGACTTTAGAAGTTTTTTTTTTTTTTTTTTTATGAAGTACAATATCCTTAGACATAGGTCTTGCCAAGGGAAACTTAATTGTATATTGAACTACAGTATCACCTTTTGTTTCAAATTTGTTACAAGGTCCAACTGAACACAAAAGGTGAAGAAAACAAAAACTGTGAAAGAGTTTGTGATAAAGTGATGAATATAGATAACCATCACACCCAAGCTGTAGGTGACTCTACTTCAGAATTGGCACAGAAAAATATGTGAGTACAAGTAATCATGGTTAGTTTTAGAAACATACCAGCTTAAATTATGGTGATTTTCAAAATAACTTATGATTACAGTAATCATTTTAACAGCTTTTTATTAAATAGTTTTAGAATAAATTTCTTCTTGAATACAATGGCTTCACGATGAACATAACTTTCTCTTTTAAATTTTCACCTTATCTTCTCCAGGTCAGAAACTCTTGAGTATACGAGCAATAAAGCCTTTTTTTTTTAAATTGAGGACTTTTTGCTGAATGTAAACATTTGAAATTATTTGTTGGTTCTGAAAAAATAAAGATTTTATTTATCTTTTGTTGTAGGACTGCACAAAAAATATCAAATGAAGCTGTAACTAATCAACTGTTACCGGAATTCACTGAGAAAATCCTCAACTTGGCAGATCAGAACAGATTGCGTCTGCCGTATGACTTGAAAACACCGGGCTACACAGGGTCCATGCCAGAGTCTCCAATGAAAATCCAACCACAGAAAAAAGAACTTCAATTTTCAGACCCAATGGTTACTACGTACCAAATTGCCAATAGGTGAAAAATACTTTTTAAATCTAGCGATAACAATTTGAGTGACCATTAGAAATGCAATAGTTGGTTACTAGAATCATGGTTAACATACCGGTAAGTAGAATTCTCATCCCATTGAAATATTAGGTCGTTTTTGTGCCTAAGGTTGGTGACACTGGGCGCTAGAGTTTACAACATTTTGTTTCTATTTTTTTTATTTTTGGCTAATTTTATGATTTGTGGTTTATTGTTTGATTAAACTAGGGGACGAGTTACTGTTTATGATTCAATCTTTTCAAATTCAGATACAAAATAGGAAATAAAACACGATCCTAGCGGCCCGGACGGAACAAACAATAAAATTTTCTCAAGCTTAACCATAAGGATGACAAATCTACTAAGGGAGATTGTTTATCCAAGCTAAAATGAAGCAGAAAAAAACTTTTTAGATTCCTAATTACATTTTCATAATATATACTGGAAGAATTATTTTTAAAAGTATCTGAATATAGCTAACCTTAGAATTGGCATACCTGTGAAAATTTGGGTAGGAATATGAAAATATGCTAAGGTGGGGTGTTCGGGATTACAGGTTGGAAGCTTTGCAAAGAATGATTTTTAATAACTTTGAAGATGATTGAGAGAGCATTTTGAAACTTTTCTTAAGTATTTGTACAAACTGGTCTGCGAAGTTTCTGCTAGTTCAATCATTGACTTTTGTACTGTTGGTTCTTAAAGAAGACATTCCATTTATGAGGATATATTTGATAATTTTTCTAAATTGCAGCTATTTATCAATTGGAAATAAATAATACTTATAATTTGTCCTTATCCATATATTAAACTAATAAACAATACAAAACAAGAATAGTGAAAAATAAGTTTTTATTTATTGAATACCTATGAACTTGGGGGTTTGTTAAACCAAACAGAATTAGAACAGTGTTCCATTATGTTTGGCGAGGTACGGCCCTTGAGGGAACCATTCCGGCATTTGCCTAAGTGAGGAAAGAAACCGTACAAACTTTCCTCGGAATGGTCGGTCTGATAGTCAGATCTCCCGAATGTGAGATTGCATGATGCCACCTCACTCGGTATGAATACAAAGAGTTCTAACCCTAAATACAATAATACTAGTTACCTAAAATACTTATCTTAGATACATTTCTTAATCTCGTTTTGCTACTTCTTTCTTCATAATCTGCAGCCCTGCATATCTTCATGTTTGTTCTCTTCTGTCACAAATCATTTCTGTTCATCTTGAAGGTTGGTTTAGCGTCTTACTCCAATCAAAAATACTCCGATGCCCCTCCATTTATCAATGTCCCTAGAGTGTTTGTATACTCTCTGCCTCTGCTATTGGTAATCCCTTTGGTTGCTTGACGGCAAACTGATCTTGATTTTATGAAGCCTAGGCTATCTCATCATTTTCATTTGTGATTCACATTTCTGAGGTGTTTCTTACTTAAAGCTGTTTCTATTGCTAATTCTTCCATTCTTCATTGTCAATTGCTATAACATCTTGTGACTTGTAACTCATTTCCTGTTTGAATCATTAAATTTATCAAACAAATCTATTGTTTTAAAATACTGTCTCTCACTTATGTTTCAACAATTCTAATGTAAAAATTAATTTGTTCCTATGGAAACAATTTCCATGTAACCATTGATAAGTGTTTGCTTTTAGAATGTTACCCCAGATCTTATTTTGAAGATTATAATTACTACTAATAGACTCTTTATAGCCAATTTTAGAATGATTATGACAAATGATCTTATTTAAATTGTCTGACAACCAATTAAATGTTTTTTTATCTAAATTAATTATAATATTTGATTTTTAATAAGTATTTTGTGGATTTTATTTCGATTTAATCTTGAACCACAAAAACATTGTTTGTTTTGTTTTCATTTGACCGTTTGTTTCCAGGAATAAGACCTTGAATCAGTGTTGTATATGGCTGGGAAACTTACATTTTTTACTTAAGCATTATCAATAGCTTACATAAAACGTTTCAACTCATTGACGGCACTTCAATGGTGGTTGTGTAAAGTGTTAAGTGACAACTGCAGTGGGGGATTGTAACAGAACAGAGGTTTACGGATTATGCTCAAATCACTTTTCCAATGTGTCTTCTCAGTTCTCAATGCTACGTGCTGCTTGCTGGACCATACAGCCTAGACCAATTGCCCATCTCGTGGGTTCATAGGCCTTAACAATTATTCATAAGTTGGTAGCGCATAATACTCAGTGTTCCGTACGGACAGGACAAGAGCACCTTTGATAGTGAAATTTTCAACCTGAATGTTTAATGGCGAAGTTGAGCTATAGCATTTTAACTATATATCGTTTGGTTAGTTAGGTCAGGTTAACCTAACCTAACTAACCAAACAATATATCGAATTAAACAAACAAATAATCAATATTACTCATTTGGTTGTTTGTGCCATCAGATATGAAAGTATACCCCTCATAGATCTATTACACATGTTTTTTACTTGAAACTGTCAGATACTGTATTTGTTTATATATATAATAGTTTGGCCAGCACGTCTGAAAATATGCAAACCAACTGCTGTTCTTTATATAGGAAGGTTTCAACTGACCACTATAAGATCCCCGTGTGTAGAACGGGCACACAGCTAGTATCTGAATAAAAACATTAGAAACAGTAGTCAACTATTAAGCTATTAATATTACACATTTTTTAGATGGCGAAGCAGTATATGATTATTAGAAGAATCACTGAGGATCCATTTTTATTCAAACTATATTTTTATTTGTAAAATTATAAACTGAAAAATAAAAAATAAGTTTATTTATTATGTATAAAAATATGTGATGATAATATAACCACCTAATATTAAATAGGCCGCGTTATTTTGAGATTTATAAGCGAAGAGGGTAAGTTATCATATAAAAAAAAACAAATAATGTTGAACTATTTATTGGTCAACAACTTTTAAAACTTACTTAGGGAAAAGGTATTATGAAATAGAATTAAATAACATTTTATATACATTTTAAAAAACTAACAGTAACACTAACGTGCAAAATATTCAGTCATTTCTTAAACTTGTAAAAAAAAAACTATTAGGTGTGAACATTTTGGCCGATACGCTAACAATAGAGATGTAAGTTTCAACATTGCCAACTATTCAATTAATTGACTGGAGATCTTTAAATATTTAGGAGTTACCGTCAATAGTTCAAATTCGGAAGATCTGGAGATACAAAGTAAACTAGCAAATGCCAATAAGAGCCTTGGGGCCTGTACAAAACTTTTGTCATCCAAACTTTTACCAAGATGCTCAAAATTAAGAATATACAAGACCCGTTATACAGCCAATGTTACTGTATGGAAGTGAAACATGGGTCCTCTCCAAAAGAAATAAAGGACGTTTGACGGTGTTTGAAAATAAGGTACTTAGTAAAATATTCGGCCCAATTTATGAAGAAGGAGTTTGGCGCATAAGGAAAAATAGAGAGCTGCGTGCCATATATAAAGAGCGTGACGTAATATCGATTATAGAAGCCAAAAGAATTAGGCTAGGTCATGTACTTCGGAGACAGGATGGCACAAGACTGAAGGAGGTTTGTGAGGCCGTACCTACACGAAGACGTCTGTTGGGTAGGCATTAACTAAGATGGTATGAAGACAAAAATGATGTGATTTAATGCAGAAGAGAAATCCGGATGGCGGAGGATAGAGAAGAGTGGAGGCGGCTAATCTAAGAGGCAAAAAATCAACTGAGATTTGTGACGCCCCATCAGTAAGTAAGTAGGTGTGAACAACTTCAGTGCTTGGACATGGTTGTGGACAAATCCACAAAGTCCACTGACGTGTCCAGACGCAATGCTTCTAATGCCTTCCTGTTTATTAGGACCCCAACTGCCCATTCATTGGTGTCCTCTTCCCACAAATCCTCAGCACCAGTCTGGAACAAGGTAGAAAGATTAAGAACTAGGTCTAGGATAGAACACAATAGCAAAGATACAAATACAGGTCAATGCACTTTTACTGTAATAATCCAAAAAGTTTTTTTTGAATGTTTATACATACATTTTTTAAAGATATTTATATAATATTTTGTATAATAGGGGCTGAAATAGAATTAGCAAAGTAAGTTAAAAATTATTAGGTATGCAACTTTACCCTCACAAAAGTCAAAATGTCCCTTCACAAACGTAATAAATACCATCTGTGCCTTGCGGTCAAAACTACCCTAAGCCAAGGTATTACCAACTGAACCTCCCAAAGGGTATCCTGTGTCCCATCAAAATAAATTCAAGGTCAATTAATTCAGGTTTTCCTGGTTGAGAGTTCAAAATTTGCAAAACCTGCCACTTATAACTTATCCCTTTAATTGAATACTGGCACCAAAAATCTAAAAAAAACGTACGGTAATTTAAATGGTAACATAAAGTTAGCATAAGAATTAAACTGACCGATAACTATACAATAACAAAAAATATACACATTTTAACTTGTACAATGCTAGTGTTATTTAATGTTTGCTTTCATATAGAAATAGTAATTCCGACTTTATCTTGGTCTTTGGTTTCGGTTATGGTAATCACAGATATTAGGAAAAGTCAGGGATTTAAAATCTGATATCCTAATCCTTAAAATTTAAACCGACCAAAATCATTACTTGCGATTGCGGAAACATTAGAATTGCAGAAACGTCGTGAGTGTCTCTCAAAATCCTGGCATATCTGTGATAATTTCTTGCGATCATGACAACACTTGTTGTGGTTTCTTACGATCGTGGCACACCGTGATCATATCATTCAATCACAGCGAAATTCATGATGATTTCATTGTGACAACATTCAGTAATATTCCCAGGGTTCATCGTGATAGTTCCTGCTGTGCAATCGCTATTTTCGATGATGCAAAACAAGAAAAATCGCCGATTTCAGGCCTTTTTTTCAGAATATTATCAAAAATTCAAATCACGTACAGCTCACAGATTTTTCCCGGTCCCAATCAAATCAAACCCTTCCTAGGGTATTACCAAATTTGCCTAACATTCCAAACACACACACCTGAATTTCCCTGCTACCTCAGATGTGTTTTGTGTATGTCATGTTTTAAAACTTTATTTATGTATGCAAATAAATAGTAAATGTTAAAAAATACACTATGCGTAAAATTCCTAAGGTGTGCTGTTTACAAATCAAGGCATACATGTAGTTATCAAAGCTTTCTATATAGTAGCCTAGTGATGAATGAACTCACCGCAGACACATCAAGTTTGTCCAGGTCTGGGATGGGCTTAGAGGGGATACAAGACAGTTGGGAGACTCTAGTAGACAACACGCCATAGAGACCTCTGGTACGCAGCAGTCTCTGTCTGGTACTCTCATCTCCCAGGTGGATACTCAGCTGTGCCACACTCACTGATCTTGTGGTCTGTCTCAGTAGGTACTCTAGAAAAACAAGTAGGTTACACTGGGCAAAGCAAGGACGACAGCAAAACTTATGAACCTATAAATATTGATTACAGCAGAAGTTGAGTACTGTATTAATAATATAATAGTTTACCTAGCCGCTGAGCAGTGACTAGAAGGCCAACACGGATGGTAGCCGTCTGGCCAGCTTGTAACACACCCTCCTGGGGACAGATGGACAGACCAGCTGAGGATTTAAAGGTGGCTGCAACATATGATGAGCAAATTAAAATTAGACCTAGATAAAAAAATCAAACACTGTTCAGTGTTCAAAACTATGGATCATTCCATGCCAAAACAACCAATTTCACCATATGAATTGGACATTGACCTTTCAGATTTGGCTGAAATTTTTGTCAGGTATTATTTTACCCAGCATCTTTAGCATAAATATAAAATTTTATTTTGATCTCTTTTGGTTTTTGAGTTTCAAGGGATAAAAAATAAAAAATGCCATTTTTGACAGGATTACAACTTTTATAAAAATTACGCAACTCAAACATCACACGACTTAGAGATCTAAAACTTGTACCATTTTTAAACGTTTTTATTAGCTCGCTTTCTTGTCCAGTACAAATTTTGCAATCAATTTTATACTAACTTCCCGATGAGCTAGAGACTTGAAACTTGAAACATAGCTCACAAATGGAAGACAATGTAATATTATATCATTTAATTTTCATATTTCCCTTGGGCTATGCACCATGGGCTTCCAAATTTTTCATGTTTACATTTTGAAAGAATGTAAATATATCAATTAATTTAAGTCAACTGTAAATACTTAAATTTGACAGTTTGAAGAGCAGAGGTTAAGAGGAACAGGTTATGCTCCCAAGAGATTCTTTATACAAACAAACAGTTCAAAATAAAGATAAAAAATCTGATTGCAGATTTAAAGTTGTTTGTTAATAATGTTAATTGTTATTTATTTAGTATTCTATAAAGTAAACAATAAATTAAATAGATTGATATATTTATAGTTAGTAGGTAGGCCATACATTAAATCTAATACATAATTAGGCCTATATGAAAAGAAACTCAAATAAACCTTAGATTTCCCACATGCCTCTGACTTAATCTGATATAGATGCTTGAAATAGATCCACACACATTAAAAACTAAAAAGTAAAAAATAGTGTATAAATAAAAAACTTTTTTTAAACAAAACGTTTTTAAACGCACTAAAAAGTAGAAAATAATTTAGAAATATGTGGAGAGTATAAATACTTATAAGATTTAAAACAAAAAAGGTGGGGTGCATGCAATTGATAATAATATATTAGTTCAATAGGTGAAGGTATTAGTAAATTATTGATTGCATACATTATTGCTTATTTATGCCCTTGAAGTTGAACCAAAACTTTGTTACAAAATTCTTAAAATTTTAAAAAATTTGCAAAATATTTGTATAAATAACTTCTTGATCAGCATTGTACGTTTTATTAAATTTATGGAAAGTAAATAAAGATACGTCTTATAACACCTAAAACATATATTTACGCTTATACTGTTACTCACAAGACGGTAAATGTACAAAAGATGGTAAGTGGTGATCGATTTCGATTGGACACTCCAATCATCATCAGACCCAATAGGCGAATGACAAGAATCTTGAATGGCGTCCCTACTTATACCCTATTGGCTACCGGAAACACCGGCCAATACATTTTTTTAAGTACAACTGGAATCAAAATTTACTTGTTCATTAATCAACTTATTTCTATTTTTACATTTTTCCTTATAAATATACAATTCTTCACAAACATTCATCACATATCCCTTCTTACAATTCTTCAAAATACATAGATTATCCTCCATTTTTCCTATTAAGTGTTCATTTTGTAACAGGTGTTGTGCGACATTTGATCTTTCCGGTACGGGGACTACAACACAAAGGACTGCTAACAGATTCAATAAATACAGAGTTTCGATAGCCTACAGGACTCAGAACACCATGAGTAAAACACTGCATCCAAAAATAGAAGATTGTAACAGATTCGACGCATCGGGCATCTATAAAATCAATTGTAACGATTGTGATAGCTTCTACATTGGACAGACTGTGAACTTCGTCAACCGCTTCAAAAACCACATATCTGCATGGAGAAATAACAAACCGGAAAGATCAAATGTCACACAACACCTGTTACAAAATGGACACTTAATAGGAAAAATGGAGGATAGTCCATGTATTTTGAAGAATTGTAAGAAGGGATGTGTGATGAATGCTTGGGAAGAATTGTACATTTATAAGGAAAAATGTAAAAATAGAAATAAGTTGATTAATGAACAAGTAAATTTTGATTCCAGTAGTACTTATAAAAATGTATTGGCCAGTGTTTCCGGTAGCCAATAGGGTATAAGTAGGGACGCCATTCAAGATTCTTGTCATTCGCCTATTGGGTCTGATAATGATTGGAGTATCCAATTGAAATTTGAAATCGATCACCACTTACCATCTTTTGTATATTTACCGTCTTGTGAGTAACAGTATAAGCGTAAATATATGTTTTAAGTGTTATAAGACGTATCTTTATTTACTTTCCGTAATATTTTTTATGTAAATTCCCATAGCTTGCCTAATCTTGATTTGTTTACAAAAATTATGAGGTTATAAGTAGTCTAACTGACAACATGCATGCAAAGTCTCACCCTCTACATAAACTGGGCGGAACTAACATATAAACTGTCTTCAGCTGAAGGATGATAAAGGCAGTATTTCAATCTGTGATTACAAATTCATTGATTGCTTAAAACAAAATTGTATTAAGTAATCATTCTTTTGTAATGAGAGTAGCAGAGTACACAAACCTTCAGTGATTCTGAAGAAAGCAGAGCTATCGCCACTGTTTGACAAGGCAATTGAGCTTTCTAGTGACTTTTCATCAAGAAAGAGATACTGACGAGAATCAACCTCAAACACCCCTTGAGATATGTTCACTGTCGGCTTTCCCCCAAAAGCATACAGGGGGAGCTGCAACAAGTACAAAGGACATTTACAGTCAGTTTCCTGGTTTTATATTTGATTTAATCTAACAAATTATGCTAAATTTGACCGAAACATTGGCTCCTTGTTCGTTGAAAATGTTGAGAACCAGTGTACAAACCTATCATCGGTTGGGAGGTTATATCCACAGTGTGTTGTCATGAACCTTAAAGAATAATGGAGTATTGCACTGATCTCTCATCATCTCACAGATGATCTTTATGTCACTGTGGGAGATGACCACAATGTCAACCTACTCATGTATGAGATTATTATGATGTTACCACGACAAGGCTGCAATCAAGAGAGAATCTGGAATTCAAAGTTATGAAGTATCCAGAATCAAAGGTTTTTCAATACCACGTAACAAGTAGAATCAACAGTTGAAAAGATCAAGAGTTGCAAGGACTAACTGTAAAATTACAATTCAATCCAATTACTTTCCCTGACAAAATTCACAACTCGTTCATGGTCCTCACAGACGAGTGGGATCCCCGTTCGAGTTGGTTTAGATTTAGAACTTAAAGGAACATGTGCCCAAAAAGAGTCTAACACCATTTCTCAGTCAGGTCACATAACAAGAGATGAGAACGCACCACATTCTTGTCCACAGCTCTGCAGATTCTACTGATAGTGAGATGTCCCCACAGTGGACCTTGTACTGTAGCCAACACTGCCAACTTGATCTCCCTGTTGTCCATTGGCTGCAGACTTAATTTGATCTCCGACTGCAGGGTTTCTTCATCACTTACAATCTGTAGCATGTTACATTGTTAACACTCACATGATAAACTACACAAGGATCATGAATACACGGAGATCAAAATAAATCAAACTGTCAAAGATGTTGAACAAGGTCAAAGAGCAACAAAGCTATTATTTCTTTATACTAGACAAAAAATAAATTATTGTTCGTAACCACTTCAATGTTGGTTGGCCGTTAATACTTATAGTCACAATCAATCCTACAACTTTTTTTAAGGTTTCAAATAAAGGTTTTACAATCTGAATATACTAAGGGCACAAATCCACATAATTCTATGAAACCCAACTTATGGCGGGTAACAGTTATTGAAGCATTGAAGTAAATGGTACAAAAAAAAAAACAATTTATAATCTCTTACTTTAAAATCAGTTTAAAGTGCAGTCAGAAACCACCATGAACGTGAAAAGTCACCAAAAATGTTGACCAAACATATTTTTTATCTTTCTGCATTAAAAATATAGGCAAACAAATTGTGGTGACTGGTGAGTCAAAAAAATAGTGATCGTAGTTAAAATTATTATTAACTGATATTCAAAAAATGGTCCATTTCGGGACGGTATTTTCTACTCTTAGCCTTGCTTCAAACTCATGCCACTGTATTGCCCTAATGAGTCAATTTTATGATTTGTTGTTACATATTCTATTAAAATATCAGAAGGTAATACAACAACTACTGTCCCCACCTTAAAACACTTGGCATTGTCCATGACAGTCAGTCGCAGCTTCTCACGGTGACGGCCCATGTTCTTGATGCAAAATGTTTTGAACACTTTTTGATGTAAATGACAACCTCCCCACACCAGCTGTTTGTGGCTACAAGCTACCTTCAGCTCACCAACTGTCAAGCAAAACAGACATTTTGTTCAACAGCTTTTTATTGGAAAAACATTTTAAAAAATTAAGAAAAAAACAACGCATGAACCTTAATAAACAAAATGTGCAAGTTATTACATTTTTATTGTTTAACTTACCCTTTTAAATAAACACAACAAAAAGTGTTGTTTATTTCTCTATTGTGACCCCGGAGTTTGCAACCTTAAGGATTAGTAAAGCTAGGCGCACACGAGCGATTATTTTGAGGCGACTATTTCATCGGCCGATCTGTGCATCATGTATTTGAATGGAAGCGCGCACACAGGCGATCGAGAATTGCGCCGATTTTAAAATCTGGGTTTTGCCACAGATTCGTAGGCAAGGCGATTGTCGCCCGAAAATCTGTAACGTACAGATTGTTATCAGTCCACGCACACGGTCGACTAAAAAATCGGCCAGTCGCTTGTTGTTCTCCACAGGAGTAAGTGAACTTCAGTGTGAGTTGTGTTGTTTTCTTTGCTAAAAAAGGCCACAGCTGTTATAATAAAAACTGAAACTTTCAACAGACATTCTATAGTAATTAAAGAACTTTTTACTGTCATCACGTAAAGTGTATAGTTTATAAAACTGTCGATTTTCTTATTTTTTTCTTTGATCTAATTAGAAGAGCACAAACACAGGTTAATTCAATAAAGTCCATTTTAGGATAGTTTAAACTAAAAAAATCCATTTCTCAACTTAAAAATCGCCACGTGTGCGCCTAGACATAAATCAAGGGCGATTTATTTTTGACAGATTTTTTAATCGGCCGATCGAAAAATCGACCGTGTGCGCCAGGCCTAATGAAATGTATAACTAAATGTTCAACAAGGCCAATATACAGGGTGTCCCACGAAGGTGTTTAAACGTTTGATTTTATATTACGTGCCCATTAATGCACCGAACTTTTTTAAACTTTACACAGTTTACAAAGTAGGTTTTAAAAATATTCTGGAAAAATTTCAACTCTAGGGCCGCCATAGAGGCCATTTTGCCTCCATTTTGCCTTTTTTTGCCGCCATTTTGTTTCTACTAAGGTTAGGACCTTAGTAGAAACAAAATGGTGGCATATTGACAAATTTACCAATGTGCTTTCTATAAAAACTACTTTCATGATTTACTATTAGTTATTTATTTATTATTATTATTTATTTGATTTATTTTTAGTTTTCTATTAGGCTATGTTGTAGTTTTTTTTATTTAACACGTTCGCTGCGGGCCATCAAATGGCAGGCGTAGCCCAAGTGTGGCGCAGCCCGCAGCGTCGAACAAACCCGATTGCCGGGTGATTGGCTCTCATATTTCGGTATGACGAATAGCAAATAGCAAGCGGTGATGTCCTGTTTTATAACAAGAGTCGACGTATTTCGCTAAACACTCACAGATAGCAGCACTGCTTGGAACGTAGTCGGTCCCATCGTATTGCCAATTGGAGGGAGAAAGACGGGACAACTAGTTGATTTTTAAATTTTAAGTTTGCCAGACGGGGATTTTATGGGGAAATTTTACTACCAACCTACAACACAACAAAAAGCAAGTCACCCACTACACGCTAACATGGAATAGGTCTGCCTTCGATCGACGCTAGAGCAAAAACGATGATATACGAAAGGTATTGCCGAGCGTATCCGATCGGTTACGGCAGCACCTGAACAGCGCTCGGCCCGTATCCGATCGGATACGCCCGCAGTGAACGTGTTAAAAGTCATATTGCCCTGTAAAGTAACAATAAAAAATTTTATAAACCAAAAATACCTTTTTTAATGTTTTTAAAGTAACGTTTTTCAATATGCCACCATTTTGTTTCTACTAAGGTTAGGGAGTTGAAATTTTTCTAGAATATTTTTAGAACCTACTTTGTAAACTGTGTAAAGTTTCAAAAAGTTCGGTGCATGAATGGGCGCGTAATATAAAATCAAACGTTTAAACCCCTTCGTGGGACACCCTATATAATAACATGTTTTATTCACAAGCGCTTTCGTAAACTAGGTTTCGTGTTTACACTAGACAAAAAGTAAATATTTACTTAATAATTAATTAATTTTAAATAAAGTTAAACTAAGGATTAGAATAGTTACGAGCTTTGACAAACATTGATCAACAAGTGGCTTTTGGAAGGAGTCCTAAACTAAGATGAAATACCAGTGTTGTCATATTTTTAATGGAAGCCAAGTAATTGATTAGGCGTTCATTTATGGATACAGTTAATTTAGCTTACCTGAGGTACACTGCCGCTGGATTTTACTAAACTGAGCTTTATCCCTTGGAAAAAACTTATATACTAATTAATAATACTACTGATACTAACCTGGCGTAGCAAGGCTGCTGCTGCTGCCAGGGGATGTTGGAGAAGCGGCTCTCGAGCTGTGGGGAGTGGCTGAAACATCACACTAGGTTAAACTCTATTTTGAGTCCATGTGAAAGTTGTAGGCCTACATATCATGTACCAAACAATCAAATTCACATTGTAAAATTAACTTAACCACATAATTTTACATTTTTGAATGTTTAACATAAAGGTATTAACATTGATTTTACACACTATTAATGGATGTAAGGCATTAGCCTTGAATTAGTTTTTGAATGAGACAGGTAGCAATTTAAAAGGCAGAAGTTAATGAGTACTAGCTAGTGCTGCCTCTTTCATTCATTCGCCTCTCTGTTCACACTTCACCAAAATTAGTAAGCTGATTTAAGCTTTAGAGGTATTAAAATAATGTCATAACATTTAACTGAACACATACATTAAACATTTACTGTGTAGGCCTAAATATATGACTAGAATTTCAAAATATTTACCAAGTAAAGCGTTAAGCAATTCTAAAAGTTTTGAGGAATAGAGATTCCATTCTATCCACATTACTTACAGCTGGCTGTATAAATATATATATATATAATGTATTGTGATTGGGTTTTGCAAAATTTAAGTATCAGTTGAACATTTGTATCAGGGTACAAAAACCATCCACCTTTCCATCAAAATAAAATTCAGGACAGTTCCAGGTTTTCCACGTTCTAAATTCCAAATTTCCCCGACAAAACTTGCCGATCAAAATAAGTAAAAGTTATTTAGTAATACCTACTAGTACATTAAAAACCCTTTGGAGAATCCCGTTATGTTTTTTTTTCTTTGCGATCGGTGATCATATCTTTCCATCGTAGGGATTTGTAATCTTTCACGATCGCGGCAACATCCATAAAATAAGCATGTTAATCTGCCCTATTCTGTAAATGCCAAAATTTATTTAATATAATATTAAAAATGGTCATACTTACCCAGACTGTTATTTGATGAGTGAGAGGTGCGTCGGTCTTCTTGTAGCTTGATGGTAAAGTGAGACTGCATGTCCGGAGGAAAGACAGTGTGTAGAGTTAGTTCTCCACATCTGATAAAACAAACTAATGTAAAATATAACAAAACTATAGATCAAGGGTTTTAGAAACTAAATACACTTGGTTTTATATGAGTTTATTTACTCAAATACTTGCTTGTAAACGTCAAACATCCAAAACAGAATAATTTTTGTCAGTTTCATTTGATCCCGTTGGAGACGTATTAGAGAAAAAATTTGATTTGATTTGAAGTAATACTCAAAACCTTCAACCAGTAAATAAACAAGTAAAATCACCTAATTCTCGCACTGTTCCAAAGGAAAGATGAAATTTTATCAGTCAAACTATAGTACTGTATGGTCAAGTTTCCATATAAATTAAGGTTTTCAAATTAAAACATACGTTTTTCAATCGTATTTTGAAGGAGGTCGGATCTTTAAGTCTGACTAAAGGTCCTGAGGTGTCTGAGCGAGATAAGAGTCCCTTGTACACTATGAACATAAAATATTGTAAATCAAAATAAACTGTAAAAATATTTAACCAAATTGATTTACCTGAGTGGGTTTCTCGTTTCTGCCGTGTCAACATGCACAACAAAAGTCTGGTTGGACGGGACGGTAAAAGAGGAAGGTTGCACAGTGTAACCAAACGCAGAAGAAGTTCTGAGCACCACTGGCTGATCACTGTTGTTGTACAGAGGCAAGTCCGAGGGTACGGCCAGGGTGGCTGGAGCACCGAAGAAGTAGGGCCTGAGAGTCGCAACCAAAGTCACAGGTGCCACAGGGTTCAGCTGGTACAAGTCAGTAGTGGCCAGAAGAAACTCTACTGTACCCTCTACAGGAATGATGGTATCTGGAAAACACATCAAGATTATTGTAAATGTGTCACAGGAACCATTTCATTTGTTAAAAGAAAAGTTAAAGAAGAACATAACTTTATAACTACGGATTCAGACCACTTTCTAAGGGCAATTAAACTGATGAACCGAGAAATAGTGTTAGCTATGTTGAATCCCATATTCTGAGCTCAGTATCTATTCAACACTTAAAGTACAAAAGAATTCTAAATATCTGCATACCTTTGATAGAAAATAATACTAGGAACATCTTAACTCGCTTGAGATCGAAAGACACATTTGACCACATGAAGCTTTTTACTGTGATTTGAAAACTTAAAAAATATATATTCTGGACATGATCATGTCCATTCACATATCTCGTTTAACATAGCCAGTATAGGGGAAAAAATAAATAGCATTTTAATGGAGCAAACACACAAACTTTCACATTTATAATATTAGTATGATAATATTAAAAAAGAAATGTATCCAAACAAATTTAAAAAAAATTAGAAAGAGTTTTTAATAAATTTAGTAATTAATACTTTGAAGAATTTTTTAGCTCCCTCAGTCGTTGGGATAGTTGACATTATCTTACTAGATTTATAATACAGTATGTATTTATTGTTTTTATAATAGTTCCTTATGTTGTGCTGTTTTAATCCGTGTGATTATTTATTGTACAATGTACATAAAAATTAATAAAGCTATTCGAATTGAAATAATAAATGGAAAATATAGAAAAACAAAACATGACTTAAGATTATGATATTATTCAGTCTCCATTTACCTGCAGGTTCAAGATGGGCAAAGATGGGAGGGATCTCACACAGCACAGGTTGTCTGACTATCTGACCTGGATCCACCATCACTGTCACTGTCTGCTTCTCTCTCCCTCCAAAATGGAACAGAACTTCCTCGTGGGTCACCTACAAAGTCATATATAGGTGACAAATACTAGACCAGGACTTGTTGCTACTAATTCCTCGCCTTAGTTGTTTGCAGAGACAAGCGGCTCTCAACATCAAAAAGCATTTGCTTGAAAGTCAACTCATAGTTTCCAACTCAGGTCTCCTTTAAACTCTTCTTGATAATGTACCTCAATATGACAAATTCCTCGATATACAATTTTTTTTAACACCCTGGAAATCTCCATAAGACACAATGCATATTTTACCTCTACATAACAAACAACCCATATTTACAATTTGGTCTTTACCTAGATAACGAACCCTCCACATTACTGTTTTTTAACACATCACAATTCCTTTGATGAAAATAAAATGGACAGATAGCATCAACATTTGCACTGAAAATTGTCTGCTCTGTTTTAAACTTCTGTCCATGTATGTCGTACTAGATTTCATTAGCTGGGAACTGATGACAACATAATGTATAGTAAACTGTGATTGGTTAATAACCTGATGAGTAACCATGGCGATTTGTTGAATGTATGGATGAAGATAAATCTAAGAAATAATAGAACAAAGAGAAAGAGTAAAAAAATTATTGATTGTTTTCATTATATCTTCTTATGAGTATTTTTCTAAAAATAGATTACCCTAACGTTTGATGTATGAATACAATTTTGAATTCCTAATAATTTCACCCTGAAAACGCCACAAGGCAGTTACTACGAGATCTTCATCACCAAGTCCTAAATTGTTTTGTTCACATTGTCCCACATAGCTAACTGTCAAGAAAGGACTAGCTCTCTAGTTTAGTTAATGGTAGAACTTTACATAGCATTCAAGATTCAACGTGTTAAGATTTTATTTTTAAAATACTACACATACCTTAGTTACCGTAAGCTTCAAGGGTACTGTAGAACGGCCCTCATTCTTCATCACGATTGTATGTTGATATTTGCCGTTATGTTGACATTCAGGGTTTGGTATCATTTCACCTTTGTGTTTGGTCAACAGAGACACCTAGACATAGTTAAGTTATAGTTGTACAGTGGAGTCCCGAAAATCCGAACTTCGGTAATCCGAAAGTCCGCTTAATCCAAAACCAAAAAATATATTTTTTAATTTAAAAAAATTTTGAAAATTTTTTGAATTTTTTTTTTAATTTTTTTCAAAATTTTTTGAATTTTTTTCGAAATTTTTTGAAGTTTTTTGGAAAGTTTTTGATTTTTTTTATTAAACTTTTGACACAGTTAGCTGTACCTCGTCAAAGTATTCTGTAGCGGCTGGGCGAGATAGACTTTTTTGTAGAGTATTTTAGTAAATTAATATTTCACCATTTTTGTTATTACTGTAACATTTTACATTTTCGTCCGCCAAATCACAAATGGATTTTACTAAGTGATAATGCTGCAGCCAATAGGTCTAGCCTTAAGTAATGTGAAAAACAATCCCGGGCTCGTGCCTGCGTCCGAAAAAAAGTAGTAAGAATTAGACAAAAAAATTTCAAAAAATAAAAAAAATTCAAAAAAAAATTCAAAAAAATTTTTAAAAAATTAAAAAAAATATAAAAAAAAACGTTTAATCCGAAATATTCGGTAATCCGAAATGGGCCCGGTCCCAACCATTTCGGACTAACGGGACTCTACTGTAGTTTGCTGAGATAAGATAGAAAATTACACAATCAAGAATTTCATATTAACAGATTCAGCTCGTACTAACATATAAAAGAATGTTAGTACTATACAACATAACACAATCTAGATTATTCCAGGCTTTACTCAGGTTTTGTTTTGACCCTTGCCCTGTCAAAAGATGTCTGGTGATCTTTCCCATTCCCCATGTACTCTTCAACCCTGCAATATGATCTCGCCATTTGCACTTTGTATTTGTTAATGTATAATATTTCCCCTTCTCTTTTTTTGTGACACACCTAAAGGTGAACTGAGAAGTTGAAAAATGTATACACACTGTTCTTGGTGCAACTACCGGTCACGTACGCAACAGCTGGCCAGCCACCAAGATTCTCGTTCGTCTATGGTCTAGACATAGCTTAAGTATAAAAGAAGGTACCAATTCTTACTTCTTTCCAATTTAAAAGTGTATTTTGGGCTCAGTGTGTCATATATCAGCTGATCATATAACATAATATCTGGCCCCCCCCCCCCCCCCGCTATGTTCATCCCCCAAGATGAAATAATATAAAGATGGTATGATAAGCACAAGGTACCAGTACTTATTTTATACATCTGTAGCCAAGTGGCCTGAGCCACTGCTTTTAAAACTAATAACAAGAATTTATTGAAACACAATCTGCAGAAGCATTAATTAATCTGGTTTTTACAAAGCAATAATATAAGTCCTTACCTTTGGAATCTCCGCTATAATTTTCCCAAATACGTTACTGCATTCTCTTGCTTGAGTCAGTGGATTTTTTCTTGTGACTTCAATCTTTATTTTTATAACTCCTCCGATCAAAGCTGCTATATTAATCTGCAACATGTAAGGTTTGATGTAACAAATTAGCTGATATAAATTTCAACTCTGTGCATATCTTACAAAATAATAAATTGCAATAAGCAGCAAACCTAGGTACTTGTTAAACCTAATTTTATTTATATATATTTAATAAAACATCCAATCAGTCAAAGGGAAATTTTCTGAGTCTGCAGGTTAGCTGTGGCGGAGTTGTTTGACTCATTAAATGAAGTTAAAGTTTAAGATTTTATAGTATCACACTATTTAACTAAATGAGATGAATTGTTGTAAACCTAGAAAGTAACCGTCGATTTCCATGGGTTTCGCCTGTTTTTGATAATAAAATAATTAAATATACTTAATCGCAAATAACTCAAAAACCTTTGGGTTTAGAAAAGAATGATAAATACCAAAAATGTGTATTTTTAGATAGACTACATTTTGTATATTTAGCTTTTTCCTGTATCTCTAATAATAAAGTCACTATAGCCAAAAATACAGAAAAATGCCGCCATTTTCCAATATGGCGGCCATAGCACAGCTTCAGTTTTAAGGGACTTTTAGTATGTTCAAAAGGAACGTACATCAAACATCTGTACCAAATTCCTTGCTTGTGCTATTTGTTTATGTTTATGGAATTTTTAGCTTATTTTTACTTTACTATGTAAGGACATTTATCTGGTGTTGGCTAATATTATAATGTTGAAACAATTTTGGTTGATGTGAGGAATACGTCATCAAACCTGCTGAAAGATTGGTGTTTGGTAAAAAGGTAAAATTGTGTTGTCAACATTAGTTCAGCAATTAAGTCAAGATGAATCATCTGTACGAAGGTAAAAATAACAATTAGGTAACGTTGAAAGATGTATTATAAGCTTCACTTGCAAGTTTGTGGTATGTAGATCAATTTATGATGACGACAAATAAGACTTATAAAACATTTATTAGAAATTCGACAAAATTACAAAATTTTTCAATAGGCATCGTCATGTCGATGTTTCGATGTTTCATGTCCCTGAGATAGGCCTGCACATTTAGGACTTTGTTTTATTGTTTACAAGAAAATGTCAACCGTAGGAAAAGCTACACACAAATACTTCTGTGACAAATGACCTCTCACACTGAAAACTCTACAATATATAAGCGCAATTAATAAACTCCAAGGAAAATAGTTTGATATACTTACAGTTAGAGTCTTTCTCTGGCCAGGGTATAGGATCATTTTAGGAACGGGAAAATGAACATAAGCTGCTGAGTCCTTCCTCTGGCCATCCACGTAACATGCCTTGCTGAAACTATACTCCGCCGGGTGAGAGAGTTCGTTGAACACATCAAAGTCCATTGACTGCGGAGTCATCACACATACACAGGCATCTTCATCCCCCTCGAAATCTTTAATAAAAACACTATGTTATGAAATTGACCTGTTAAACATGGTTAGGAAATCATACATATAATACAGCCTAACCTTAAATGCTGGGAGATTATTTCAAGGCAAAATCTTAAATTCTTCTAACAAGCCAGAGCTGGAAAAATCTCACTAAAACATCAATAAAGAGTAGAAAAAGTAATAATTATTACTGTTTATCAGCTACCATTGAAGGTAGCTCAGTGATAGCCTTGGGCGATTAGGGCAGGTGTCCACAGATGACAATCGCAGAAGGGCGTAGTGACCACAATTCTTTTAATTGTAGGTGCGGAAACGCAGCTCCCAGCAAGCACATATGAATCAATGGCAGTTGCGTCTATTGGTGTCCACGGACCCGACGTTTTGTCGGCGGTTGTTGAGAGGTGCGCTAGTGGTACCGACTCGCCGTGCATACCACTGTTCCCTAGCTTTTATGGTAGTTGCAGCCTGTTTCCCTCAGCATCTGAACAGTTTTCCTGTGTTCTGTCCCAGTTTTTGTGTGTGTATATTATAGTTGCTGTTATAATGGTTGAATTTGACACTCTATTACTTACAATGGGATGTGACCAGAACCGCCTGTGAACCTTTTCCAACTACAGATAATCCGACGTGTTAATATAATACTAAAGACAACTAATACATCTTGTTCGTCCATTGTAACTACAGGAGGCACACAGTACACAAAGGCGACTACAGTAGTACATTGCCTGTCTACGAAAGACTGAGGAATCGGTGTGTTGGTGGCAGCGGCAGTAGCAGAGCAGTAGCCACCACATACCACCACCGTAGACACCAGTGAGCGTGATTTGTGGTACGCACTTTTCACATTCCCGGTTGATAGCACCCACACACTACATGCGATAGTAGTCTGTCGACACCCGCCCTAAGCTAGACATTGCTATTTTGAGACTTTTCACGCTTGCCTATGACACTGATTACTGTGAGAGAATTTCACAATCTTAAGATCACCACACAAACCAGAAGGTCATGATGACGGGCCGTTATTGATACGATGAGTTTTTCTACATAAAAAAAACCAATACCGTTTTAAGATTTTAAATAAATGGATTTATGCATTACAAGGTAAGGTTTAAAATTATTCAAATGTGCTGACAATTTTCTATGAAACTCGAATTGTTGTAGCCTAAATAATTTACCAGTAACGTTGCAGACAGACATTGCCCCCGATTCATTCATTGGAGTGTCAAAGTTGGAGTATTGTAGAGCAGAATTGTCTCTTGTGGAAAAGCTAAGGTTCCCTTCAACTCCTTGGCAGAAGCTATTATCCCCTGTTGAAAATCATAACAGCATTTAAAAAATTGCAGAAAATTTTAAAACATATATACCTGCATTGAATCTAAAATACTTTATTAATACCATCCAAATATAAAACTGAATAAATGTTTTGGTGTCATTTATTTGCACTCTCAAGATAAGTATTGTGAGGAAACACTGTACAAATTCTTTATACAAAACAATGTATATGTGATAACAAAAGTACTTACCCTCAACTATAGATGAAATCCTGTTAGGTTTTGGTTTTATAGACTCATTAGGTTTGGTCTGGGCCTTAGTCTGTGAACCTAAAAAATATTGCAATTAATTGACTAACTTTCTTCACTGAAAAATTTTTATGGTACCAACGGCAGGTAATTCAAAAGAGCACTTATTACTATATTTTACCTGTTAAAAACCATATATGTTATTACCTGATCTTTATGTTTTGTTCTGAACATGTCACTTCAGATGGTTACTTCTTTAGACATATTCAGAATATTTCAGAATATTTAGACAGTCTTTAAAATATTTCTTTTATTCTAAACTTAGTACATTCAAACTTGGTAAGCACCAACTCACAAATTGTGAAATAACAGCTATTACAAATAATATCAATTTTAAATAGAAACAATCCAAACAACTTCTATTTAAAATTTCTTGCTTTACAAGTAGAAATCATGTTCACAAATGTTACATCTTAACAAAGACCAAAATTATACATACATGTGTTCAGTTCTTTTATCTAATAATTTTCTTTAGCCTTTACTTAGAACAGCTGATGATTTAAAAAAATGATTGATCCTACTGTACTTAAATAAACAAGATTGATTTCTGTTCTTCTTGAAAACATGACTTTTATTTTCTCTTTCTTAATTTTTTCATTAATTTACTCAAACACTCAACATTATTTAATGGTCCTTCGAGCCGGATATTACTTAAGCGATTTGGAATTACTTTCTTCTACTAAAACTCTTCATACATCAATATTTCCTCATTTTACTCATTGTTTTCTGTGCCTTTGAACTCTGTGAACTGAACTCTTATTTCCATATTGAAACTGTTAACCCACTCATTTACACTTTGTGAATTTTTTACATTTATCTCATCATCTTTGTACAATGGCATCTACAAATAGTGATTTTAAAATTGAAACTTATACACGACTCACATCTTTTATTAAAACTCGTCTCAACGAAATAAGAAACATCGTAGATCAACATGTTGAACAAGAAGAAACATTAACAGTTGTGCAACTCGAAGCCTTAAAGACTCTCATGCAAGAAACCCAGAAGAAGAAAGAAGACTTTGATTCTTATTTTTATCGAATTGTAAGTACATCAAGTGAAGATGATTTGAACATTGAAACTTTAGTTGAAGATGAAGACCAAATCAGTGAACTATTCATCCACATCACCAGCTACATTAAAGTGCTGCTTTCAAAAATTGGTTCTAACCCTTATTTGGCCAAGGTTAATTGCAGTTCAGCTCAACCTCATAAAACTACTGCAGTGCATGTAATCAACCCGAACTCATCAAGTCCAGCTCAACCTCAGAGAACAACTGCAATGAGTGTAACCAAACCGAACTCATCAAGTCCAGCTCAACCTCAGAGAACCACTACAATGAATGTAACCAACCCGAACTCATCAAGTCCAGCTCAATCTCCGAGAACAACTGCAATGAATGTAACCAACTCAAACTCATCAAGTCCAGCTCAACCTCCGAGAACAACTGCAATGAATGTAACCAACCCGAACTCATCAAGTCCAGCTCAACCTCCGAGAACCACTGCAACGAATGTAACCAAACCAAACCCATCAAGTGAGTTTCAAACAAAAGGCATCCAGCTTATACAACCTGAAACAAAACTCATCACGAGGTTGGTGGCAAACACTATGCCTAAGTTCGCAAACTCGAAAATTAGAAATACCACAGTGACAGTGACAAAACCTCAACCCATGAATACAGACACAACAGTGAGCTCAACTACATTGACAAGTGACAGTGCTACTATCCATCCTACCAACTTTGCTGTCATACCAAGTGACCGTGCTGTTATAAACCCTACTGATAAAACTGTCACCCATCCTACTGGCCGGGCTGCTATCCAAACGATAGACAGTGCTGCCGTTAACCCAACCCACAGTGCAACCACTACAGTAAAGACAGTCAAGCAATCCAGTCAAGTGGTTGTATCTTCCGATGGAGCTCTGACCAATAGCTACTCTTCATCACAAACTACAGAGGAAGCGCTCATCCTCCAATCTCAATTTGTTGAATTATTGAAACAAGAGTGCTTTGAATTGAAGAAATGTGTTATGAACTGTCAAGACTTGCTCACTTCTGTTACTCAATCTCATCATAAAACACCAAAGTTCCTTCAAAACTCTGATGCTCAACATTTCAAAGAGCTAGGACTTCGGTGGTCTCCAGCAACTGTTTTTAAGGTGTTTCCCAGCAAAGATGGTATAGGTTGAAAAGAGAAGTAGAAAAATGCAAACAGGTGCTATAGCCGGCCTACAACAAACTTTTGTGTTAAGTAATGTGTTTTGTTCTAAACTAACTGTTGAAGTGAGGACACTTCAAGGCCGGGAGTATGTTCAGTTCTTTTATCTAATAATTTTCTTTAGCCTTTACTTAGAACAGCTGATGATTTAAAAAAATGATTGATCCTACTGTACAAATAAACAAGATTGATTTCTGTTCTTCTTGAAAACATGACTTTTATTTTCTCTTTCTTAATTTTTTCATTAATTTACTCAAACACTCCACAACATATATTATAACCATATGAAGATGATTACAGTAGAGAGTCGAAAATCCGAACGTCAAAAATATGAACAGCTCCTGATGATTTTAAAATATTGAATTAGCGTAGAGACAACAGATGTTTTACAATTTCACGGGCCAAACAGTCGGCAACTGGCAGGGAAGTGTGTGAACGCGCCGAGCCAGTCTGTTTTGTTCATTTCCAATGTATAAGCTCTACATATTTTATTTCAAGAAACGAATTACAGTTATAACAAAAATACCTAAGTACAAAAATCATTATTTTATTTCATTGACTGTATCTTAGAACTGTATTTTTAATACTGTATGCCTAATTATGTGTCTATTAGGCATTTCTAGGCTATGTTTGAAAATCAAACAAATTGGTAATCTGAACTACCTACGGTCCCAATTGGTTCGGATTTTTTACTCTCTACTGTATAACAAATGTATGCACTAGTATAGCCAGAGCAATGGAGCAAGCTGGTCTAGTAGTAGAACGCGGGGCTTCAGAGCTCGAGGTACCGGGTTGAAATCCCGCCAATCACCAATGAATTTTTTCTATGATATAAAATACCGCAATCCTCTAGAATTAGCCTGAAGTAATGTGTAAAACAGTTCCAGGCTAGAATCTAGTGTCCTAAGATGTGAAGGTTGGATATAAAATTACAAGTTTTTGGGTGGGTTGAAAATAAAGTAAAATACACTGTTCTTATGATTATCTGTCCAGTCTTTCCTTACCCATAAGTTGATCAAGCACCTCCTTGTGATTGGCTCCATGTTGTAGCTTCTCCAGCAACTCTCCGATGTATGAAAGGCTCGGTACTGAAGTGTCCGCTTCATCTCCGTGTATGTTGGAGTACTGCTCTACTAGGGAGTGTGGCAGCCAGGGCGTATCTCTCACAGGCTCCTCGTCAACTATGAACGTAGACTTGTCTGTCATTAATACATTATGTTATTCATGTTACATTATGTTGTTCATTTTACATTATGTTGTTCAAATAATTTATAAATAAAAACCTTTTTTTTAAACAAAACGTTTCTAAACGCACTAAAAGTGGAAAATAATTTATAAATATGTGGAGAGTATAAGCACTTGTAAGATTTAAAACGAAAAACGTGGGGTGCATGCAATAGATAATTTACAATTACCTTCACCTATTGAACAAATGTATTATTATTAATTGCATGCACCCCACGTTTTTCGTTTTAAATCTTACAAGTATTTATACTCTCCACATATTTATAAATTATTTTCCACTTTTTAGTGAGTTTAAAAACGTTTTGTTTGAAAAAAAGGTTTTTATTTATAAATTATGTCCTACTTTTTAGTTATAGTGTATAAAGAATCTCTTGGGAGCATAACCTGTACTTCTTAATCTTAACCTCTGCTCGGGTCTGTCTTAGGGGAGGTACGATTGAGGCATTAGTTCAAAAATCCTCCGTGAACAGCGCTGTAGTAGAGAGCATTTTGGGCAATGAAGGTTTACTAATCGCAAAAATAGTTCTGTTCATAAAATAAAATTATAAATGCCTCAAATTCAATTTTATAATTTTTTTTTATAAAATTACTATCATAACCTAACCGAACTAACCAAACTTGCTGATAATGAAAATAATATAAAAAAAGTTTATTAATAGAAAAAATAATTCTGTCCATTAAATAAAACTAGAAATTGCTCAATTAAATTTGTATAATGACTTAATAATAAAATCAAACTGTCATAACCGAACCAAACCAACCAAACTTGCTGATAATTAAAAAACTTAGTCAAAAAGTTAGTGCCACCAGCGGGATTCGAACCCGGGACTCTTAGCATATCATCAAAGCACGCTAACCGTTAGACCACCGAGGCCGATGGCTGCAATCCGTATTGTTATGGTAATGGTGTTCCCTCAGCTAATGATAAGCCCACAGCTATCATCATAAGCTCATCTATACCTCCCCTGAGTAAATACCTGCTCTTCGAACTGTCAAATTTAAGCATAAACAGCTGACTTAAATTAATTGATATATTTACATTCTTTTAAAAAATGCCTGTTTCAGAGGCTTCTTCAGAAGTAGGCCTAGATGGTAGTTCATCTAGGCCTACTTCTGAAGAAGCCTCTGAAAGAGGCGAAATATCAAGTATTATTATGTGTGTGTTTTATGTGTTCTTTGACTCGTCTGCAACCTTTCATCAGGTGAGTTAGCTGTGTCCTCTCCATCCTATATATTTATTTAATTCTTTAAATAATGATTTACACGATTTTCTTGATTGTTATCACTGACAGCATTTTCAACCAAGGGAAGATTAAAAAACAAATGATGAAAATTTTAATGTATATGTACCTCTGTAAATAATTGCAACAATGAAAACGATAATTAAAGGTATACAGGTTGTAAATGTAAATGTGTGCATGTCATAAAGTATTGAACGTATGAATTTGCTGCATTTATTATTTACCGTCAGGGGGAGGCATGATGGGCCTCGGTTTTCCTGTTTTCTCCGGGCTCGTAGAGATCATTCCAAACTGGGGCCTTTGTGAGTCTCCGACACCATCCCCAGTCCCCAGACTTCCCAGTGGTCCACTGCCACTACGCAGAAAACCACTTATTGAAAGCTTCTCTCCCCCAACACTGCAAAAGGATAACTCTTAAACATATCTACTTCACCAGTCTCTAGACTTCCCAGTGGTCCACTACCACTTCGCAGAAAACCACTTATGGACAGTTTCTCACCACCAACACTGCACAAATACAGCTCTTAAACCTATCTACTTCACCAGTCTCTAGACATCCCAGTGGTTCTGCTAACACTGCACAGAAAACGACTGATGGACAGCTTCTTTCCACCAACATTGCAAAAATACAACTCTTAATCCTACCTACTTCACCAGTCTCTTGACATCCCAGTGGTCTAGAGACCTTTCACATAGTTCTCTGCGACCGGTTGGTAGCCAATTAACCTGTTGAAAGTGCATGGGATGTCTAGCTAATGCTCAAAAGATTTTTTTTACAATTATTTGAAAGCAGTAGTTTTGACTATTGATACAACTAGACATTCCATTCCCATGTTAAAGTTGCTGCCAGTTTTTTTAATCAAATTCGTTGTAGTTGATGTGAGCCCCTGACAGATTGCGCTGAACTAAATTACTAATTTCTGTTGAATACACAATGTTTTTTTACCAAGTCAAACTGATTGAACGACATATGAGGTAGCAACTGTTATAACCCATAAACTATGTCAGCAACAAAAAATAAGGTAGAAAATAGAATTTTACACACTAGCACATTCTTTGACTGGCTCACACAACTACATTATTTTTAAGAAAAAAATTGGCAACAGCTGGTCCATATAGATGGGAGGTCTTCTTCTGTATACAATAGTCAATGGCAGTGGTATATATTTGGCAACAAATAACAATATTCTTGGAAAATATCAATGTTAATTCCCTACTTCACAGAGGTGTTAGCGTCTCCATATATCCCCGAGAGAGAGCGTGCACTAGCTATGGAGAACTGTCTCTCATCTCTGTTCAATCTCTGACTCGCATCCTCTGTGAACTGGAAGTCTTCACTGTTCACACTGACGTTGGTGTAGCTTCCAAACGGGTTGGACCCCAAGCTGAATCTTTCTGACCTGAAACGCATGTACAGTTTACATAACGAGCAACTCTTGTTTATAAATAATAAGTGAGTCACTTTAATTTAAATACAGTGGAACTTGGTAATTGAAACTTAAAGAAGCCAGAAAAAAGTCATTCCACAAAAAAAAGAGTAAATAAACACTCAACAACCACTCAACTCTAATGTATTATGTTTTTGTCATAAATTTAACAAACCTCGAGTTTGAAGTAAGCCGAGGACTTGTGCTGTTTGAGTTTATTTCACTCAAAGGCTTCAGTGAACGTCTGGAAGAGGATCTTGACTTGTTGAGGTCAGTCTCTCCGTCTATAACAATTCAAACAAACAATACATTCATAACAATTTGAATAGTGTTTTTTTTCCTTTTGGGAACACTAACAAGAAACAGTAAAGTGGTCTCAAAAGAACCATAACAACTGGGGTAATACAGATAATAGAGATTATTGGATGGTCAACCCTATTTATTTATATAACCAGATCACTGTCTAACCAATCCATCTGCATAGAACAATAGTAGACCTCTCTCTTTTTTACCGTAGGGAAATTTGCTAAAACAATATAATGAATATAAATATCTGCTTCTTGCACTCAGGAATTACTGATAAACTTACGACACTAAAGCTGTTTTAGGGATAGCTCCAATATGGTGTTTGAGGTTTAATAAAACCCCTTTTATTATACTATCCCTCTAAAAAAACAATTGTAGGTACCAGAAACGGTAGTTGATTTGTTTCAAACATTTTTGGGGTTTCAAAATCATCTAATCTTTTAATAATGTATCCATCTGATTTATTACCTGTTTTATTCAGCATAAAAACCCCTGTTTGAAGGTCCTTGAACACCTAAAAAAAATACTGTACAACAGCTTATTGTCTTTGGGCCATATTCACTACACAACTTCAAACCGGTTTCCTATACCTGATTTAGAACTGAGGGAGGACAATCTCTTTGCTGTATTGTTCTTACTATCGCAGTTATCAGATGAGTATCCATGCAGAGTCCAATAATCGCTGCTGATTCGACCACTATGTTGGTTCTCTTTAGATTCGTATTTCGCTGCCAGTTTCTCTCTGTAACGTTCACTTGCTAGTGCACTGATATCCAAGCCATCCTCTGAAAGTAAAACAGCTGTTAGTCCTACTTTCTGTAATTGGAGATTTGTTCTGAGGTTTCTTCAAGTTTGGATAACAATCAGAACTATTCCATTAATGTTATAAAAATACTTATAGGCCTATGTGTGGTATGTTAAAGTCACTTTGTATTTATTAAACAACTGAAAGTATGTTGTAACTACCAGTTAAAATTATCTTGAAATAGGCTATTAATAATCGGTGTAACCCCGTTTGCTGAAATCCATCTTCAGTCCTGTACAGGATGAAAAGATTGTTTAATTTAAAAGAAAAGTCACCGTTGTGCGTAGTAAAAATTTGGCACATTATTTTATCGTCTGTATTGATTGTGATTGTGTGTTAGTTGAATTTGAAAATGCAATTGACATGATTATCCAGAGATGGGCTACAATCAAGGATTTTATAATGCTAATGGCAATGATTTGTACTGAAAGTTCCAATTGCTTGTGAACAATATGAATTAGCCTAATATTTTACAAAATAATAAATTGTTGACATAATTAATGCAACCAAATTGTAAGATTAACAGAACATTCAAAATTCACAGTTTAAAACAAATCAACAATTTTTTTTACACTTTTTACTAGCAAAATATTAAGAAGCCTAGTAATCAAAAGGGTGCTGGTTCTATCCTGAGAAAATTCAGAAGCTTTTTGATTATTCAAAACTAGACTCAGCTGTTCTTGATTTTGGGCTTTTATTTCAATAAATGATCATGGCTAAAGAACTAGCATGCTGATTTTAGCAAGTAAAAAAGCAGTCATTCAACATCCATCTTTGCCTTAAATTACACACTTTGTGTAAGCATTGTTTAAATCTAGTACAAGTATGATATAATAGTTTAATGTAAGGAGGTGAGGGGTCTAGTTGTGCACTCACTGAGCAAGCTTGTATTTAGGTTGAGCTTCTCTGCCAGCCTGATACTTAGGTCCTGGTTGATGTCGACTAGAGGTTCTCTTTGTGCATCTAGAACATCCACATCATGAACTCATTATCTATCAACATCAACTAACGCTAAATTATAAACAACAGCAAGCATAACGTGATTGATGAATGTTTAAGTGGTATGTGTCATACTAACACTCACACTAACAAGGTAGCTATTCTATGTGATTAGGTAGAACTAGGATTATGTGGTTATTGATGATTTTCTTCTAATGGTTGAAAAAAGCCACAATTTTATTCATCCACAGAATTACATTCAGTATAATTTACTGCTCTTCATAACTATGTACATGCAATGTAGACAGTGTAATTTTTTAACATGCAAAATATAAAAATACATGATCCACAATCCCAGCCGATCACTGTGATGGCTAAAGCTATGTTGCGAGGTTAGTGAGCGATACTCACAATATTCCTTCCACAGAAAGTCAAATTTGCTGTTTTTAGAAAATAGCCAAAAAGTAAGTTAAAATACTAAAAACAATTAACTTACTCAGGCTGCATGTTTTTAAGAAATTTACAACATAATATATCAAAATCTCTTCTGTGATTCTATATCTGGAGGAAATATCAGTTCAATCTTTTGTGACTTTTATTGGGTAACTTATCTATTATCATGGGTTTGAATTATCTTATTTTAGTTAGCTAAACTATATCCTTTTTCAAAATAGCTCCCAACGCATACCAAGCAAATTGAGTTTATTATGAGTAACTTATGTAAAACTGCAAAGTACGGTATATAACTCACCACACAGCAACTCTGAAGGTATAACTCCTAATGAGGAATTGGCAGAGCTAGCAATGCTCATCCTCTCATCCCCAATGGAAGTCAGGTCTTTAGTACTTTGGTACTTGGCAGGCAACTTTGCAGGAGTGTCATCCAAATAACTATGGACTTTTCTTGTACTTGGAGTCACAGTAGGTGTACTACATTGTTTTGGTGATTTGATATTTTTATTGTCTGTAACAAGTTCTTTTCCAGGACTAGTTACAGTGTGTTGTGTGCTCAGCAATTTTAAAGATGATTTATTTGCCACATTAGAATCTGAGCTTCTGGGAATATTCCTTTTCTTCGTTTTTGAATCAGTTTGTTTTAAGGTGATTGCTTTGTTGTTCTTGCTCAAATTTGGAACAGTAGGCACTCTAAATATGTTGTTACTGTTAAATCCTTCATCAGTCAGCTTCAACGCCTGTCCAGGATCTGTCTTCATGTGTTTCTCGCTTATTTGCATCAATTCCTGTTTCTGGGTTGCGCTTAAACCACCAGAGGAACTTCTGCAACATAAACGTTTATTTTAAAACATTTTAACAAGATTTTTGCCCCGAGAACCCCTAACTTAGTAGTACGAGTAATTTTTGGGGTTTTAAATGGAAAAAGCCATACCTGGTTGGTCAGTTAATTGAGCACCTACAACACTTATTCAAATTTACATTTCAAAAACTACGTCGTATGGAGGTTGAGATCATGAGAAATTTGTCTTATATAGATGTCTTATCGAGGAATTTGTTTTACCCAGTTTCGTACTAACGAGGTTCGACTGTACAGTCAAATAAACAGTTAAATAAAATAACCGTCAAATAAATAGCTTGTACAGTTTAACAATTTGATGAGTTATAGTTTTATATTAAACTAATTTTGTCATTTATTTAAAAGTAAAGCAGTATTAGTTTTGTTAAATCTCTGATTGGCTGTTCATTGTTTGATCCCATGTATAGATAATCAGAGTGCCTACGTCACAACCGAGCATATAAAAATGGTTGGACCACGTGGCCCGGTTTCAGTTGGTCAGTAGTTGTCATGTATAATGTGAAATTGCTTTGTGCACAAATTACCCTTTATGGTCAAGTCCTAGTTATAATTTTATTATATTTATTATAGTACGGAGGGTGCATCAGTGGTCTTTTATTTAATAATTTTTATTTTTATGTAACTATTATAATTTGGCCCTACAGGCGATTAAAAATATATTTTGTTTTCAGGGTTCAGCTACCAGTGAGGAATGAATAAATAAATTGGAATGAAATCAAGAGAGAGTTTAACTTATTACTTAATTACAAGAGTATTATTTAAAACCTCCATATTATTAAATTACAAATTATCTACAATCTCAATTGAAAAACATTATAAAATTTGCACTGATTTGGAAATACATTCTAAAGTAAAATGGTACAACAGATTAACAGCAATACCCATTGCTTGATTCAACGTAATCCGGAGGTTAACTTCTGAAATGAAATATAAAACAATATACAACAAGTGTTTGAAAAAGTTTCTAATAAGTAGTAAAAACCTTTGAAACTGTTACTTTAAATATAAATGTTGTAAAAACCCCATCCATCTACTGTATCTGTTCAAATAAAGAGGCATAGTTAAATCCTACTAATATTATAAATGAGAAAGTTTGGATGTATGGATGTATGGATGTATGGATGTATGGATGTATGTTTGTGACAAGTGAACGCGAAAAATACTGGTCGGATTGGGCTGAAATTTGGCATGATGATAGCTCACATTCCCGATTAACATATAGGCATATTCTTATTTCAAAAATCCTTTCGGGCTCCGCCCCAGTGGCTCTGGAGTTTCCCATGTTAACCTTATGAGAAATGGAATTATTGAATCTTAACAGCTGTTTCAACTAAACAAGTTGGTTCTGTTCTATGATGTTCAATAGCATTAAAGTTCCAAGGATTACCAACAGGGTGCAGCACTATTATTTCTTTTACATTTATGACAACAGCTAATTTGCAACCAAAAGGTGAGTGAGCGGAGCGAACGAACTTCAACCTGGAGGCGATCGAGTTAGCGTAGCGAACGAGCTAACCTGAAGGCAAGTGAGCGCAGCGAACGAGCTCCAACCTAAAGGTGAGTGAGCGTAGCGAACGAGCTCCAACCTAAAGGTGAGTGAGCGTAGCGAACAAACTTCAACCAGGACGTGATTGAGCCATGCGAACGAGATAATCTTTAAAATTAAGAAGTTAAACGGGGCAAAGCCCGCGGGTTACAGCTAGTATAACATATATTTAAATGTAATAATAATTAATTTGGATAGTGAAAAATAATAAAAACACTTACGGGTTACAAAACGCCTCAACTTCTGCATAAAAGTCTCTTGCTTGTTGGCATAAGTCATCATCTCCAATCAAAGAGCGACTGAAACCAGTTTTTAATTGAGATTACATCATCATATTTGCCTTTAAAAATTGTTAATCAACTTTGTTTATAGTTTATAGTTTTAATAGGTAACTATGTTTATCTAGGCCTATTTTCATTAGGTTGGAACCTAAAAAAATGAAGCATTGGGCACTGAGCACACAGGTTAATCCTCAAGCTTTACAAGCTTTAGGCTACATATAGCTGGAACTGGAAACAAGGACACAACAGCTTTCCAAGGTCAAACTTTTGCCCTATGATTCTTAGAACATGCAATTACTGTAAACGTATTTGATAACTTAGTTATATCTTATTTCAGCGAATTTCCCATATATGGAATAAGCTATTATCGTAGGTCTCGTGGTAATACCTGGACCCGGGACCTATTTACTTACATTTTGTTTTGATGTCACCAGAGGCCAAAAACACCATCCATTAACATTCATTTATATTCATATACCCATTAAATTAAATACAATAATACAAATTAAAAAGAATCTATCTAAATTATTATTACGCTACCTACATGAAACTTTCTGAACAATAAGGCTTTTTTGTTTTAAGATTTAACCCCACATATTATAAAAAAAAAGTAAAAAAGTCTAAAAAGTGAAAAAAAGTGAAAAGTAAAAAAGTGTAAAAAGTCTAGGTTTGACTTAAAACCGAACATTGGACTGGACTGACGCGGTGGTAAGCACTTGTAAAAGAGTGTTTGCCGCTGTGCACACACTGAAGGAGATGCAACGACTTCTACCTTTTCACATTAAACTCTTACTGGTCAAATCACTCGTGTTTCCACACTTCAACTACTGCAACACTGTGGTTAATGATATGACTGTGGTTTTGGCAACAAAATTACAACGAGTACAAAATTATTGTGTTCGATTCTTGTTCAATCTTAGGCGTGATGACCATGTCACACCCTATTACATTAATGAATCAATTTTGAAATTAGAAGACATCAGAAAAATACGAATACTTTTTATTACTCATTCGGCCATCAATCTTGGAATTCCAAATTATCTTGCAAAGAATTTTAAATTTTTGAATGAAAGAGGCGCAAGGGATACCCGCTCTGGCTCGTCCACGCTTCGCATTCCTCATCACAGAACAACTGTTTATAACAAATCATTTTTAGTAACAGCATGCAACCTATGGAACTCCATACCTTTTCACATTAAATCCATAGAAAACCGATCCCGACTGATGGTGACGCTGAAAGGATATTACCTTGACCGGATGGCCGTGGCTTGGCGGGATGGCGTGCGTTAGGCCTAGATGCAACAGAGGGTGTATGTGTGTGTGTGTCAATGTATGTTATGGAAGATTAAATAAATTATGATTATTTTATAACTTGTTTTGTTACAAACTGTGTTGTATTTTTTGTTAATATTTTGTTGTTATCATTAGTTTTTTAGAGGTTAACTGTAAGAAAGGACCATGAGGTCCTAAGCCTCAATAAAGAAGGATTTTCATTTCATTTCATTATGGTACCAAAATGTTCGTCTAGGTGTGTAGATTTGCAAACTGACCTTATACATTTTTGAAAAAGTCCCTTGGGCTCTACCCCAGTGGCTTTTAAAATTCCCATGTTATCCTTATGACAAACGTTTACATTATGATCAGCTGGATAATTTAATTGCCGTTAATATTTTAGTTCCAATTTAAGGAAACATGTGCTACAAACATTTACTGACTTGGTTGAAGTGAAATATTTACTACAATAGAGAGTCGAAAATCTGAATGTCAAAAATCCGAACCGCTCAAAACTGAGGGTTTTAAAATATTGAATTAGCACAGAGACAACAGATGTTTTACAATTTCACAGGCCAAACAGTAGGCGCCTGGCAAGGAAATGAGTGAACGCGAAGTACAAAAATCATTATTTTTATTTCATTCACATAGGGCTGGATTAACGAGATCCTACTGTACATAAGTTATTTTTTACCTTTTGGTCGCAGTGGAGGCAGCTTGAGGCAAAGGTGTGCTCAATATAGTCATATCAGACATTGCACCAGGAACTGAGAACGTTGAACAGTCTGTTTTGTCTTCCTCCATTGCTTGATGAATCAATTAGCCTACCGTACCTAAAAATGTATTTTGAGGTAAGAAATTAAGGATCCAAACTATGTTTAAGGACATATTTTAAAAATACTTAGTGTTTCTATTTCTATTCAACAGGTATTGTTTTTTAACTTAGATGAATAGGGACAACTATTAATGTGACCGTCGTTGGATGTAGCCTAACGTTATTGTTACCTGTGAAGTAGGATTATCCTAACCTACAACAACCCATTATAGTTTACAATATTAGTTTTATTGTTATAAGGGATACAAAAAAGCGGTGGCTCTGGAGCTGGCCTCTGCTGAGAAATGATTCAAGAACAACAATGCAGACTTCAGCTAAATGTCAATAAGACTCAAACCATCATATCTGCACTCTGCTTTTTGGGTAGGACTTTGCCTACTGACAGTGTACCTTGAATAAAAAATCTTGGCTTTGTAATGATAGACGGCTTAATTAACAGCACCATACTGAAGAGATCACAAAAAACTCTAGAGGGCAGTCTCTTTACTTTGCAAACTGAACAGACTGCCTGAATCGTATCTGTTGACCATCTAGTACGGCCTTTTCCATAGCCATTAGTTACGGCATACTGCCTGGGGTCACTCCCCGAACTGTGAGGCAGTGGTGAGGTTGCAGAAGGCAGCCCTGCGTTTCATAACATCGAGTGCCTGGCGTGAACATAGCAGGCCTATCTTCAGAAGCTTAGGCGTTGTTCATTCTATCCTCCTTGGTGCATGTCAAGAAGAACTTAAGTGAGTTCACTACCAGAAGCGATGTCCACCACTACGCTACACGTAGCTGTACCAAGATTTACCTAGATACCACCTAACTAGCACCCAACATGTTGCCCCGCCATGGCATGGAAGCTGTTCAATAAGTGCTGAAGAGCTTGAGAAACCTCAAGACCAGGAAATTTGAGAGAACGATGTTTTGAAAGAACAACTTACTCAGTCGGCCTATTTCTCCATTAAGTAGTTCCTTGAAGACAATTTAAATAGCAAGTAACCGACTCTCCCTCCACTCCACCCGCCAAGTTGTGAGTTGACCTATTTTTGTACATATTTATTATTATTATTTATTAATTACTGGCGCAGTTAATGCAGCTAACCTGGTCAAAAACGAACTTGACATATGGTATCAAGGTATTAAGTAGCCTAGCTTGATTCTTATCTTACTGTAACTCAGGGTCTAAGCTCAAATTAGTCTAAAAATGAAAAATTGTACTTGCAAGCTCAACTTCTTGCAATAACCTGACTAATTACAATGTGGAAGGGATCTGGGGACCAAAATTGGGAGTCCTGTGGAATTGGCAAGAAAAATTGGACTGCACATGCACCACACAAACCCTAAGTTGAGCCTAATTGTGATATAAATACAACAAAATGGGCAGACATTATATCAGTAGGCTGTATAGAGCCTACCTAAGTTAAGTTGACTAAGACTACGTCAACCTAAGTTAAGTAGGCCTATGTCTATTTTTATTGTTAGGCTATAGCTTATATTGCTTTTGTTGACTTAAAATTTTTATAGGCTAATAACTTAGCCCTACCTAGTTCAGTTACAATCAATGATTGTAGCTTAAAGGTACAATAGGAGGGATCCTATATATTAGGCCTAACTCTCAATGTTGTCTGTGAATAAGAATAGCCACAGGAAGGATTCTTGGCCCTCTGCCCTTCATCATTCACATAAATGCCATGTACCTGAATGGAAAGACCCTTCTTTTTGACATTGACTCAACCCGAAAGACGAAAATTGAAAAGGCAGTACAAAGCGCCATGCGGCGCTGCTTTGCCTCGCCTTGCAAAGATACAGGCTGAGTAAAACACAGGAAATCTTTTCCAATTGCAGCCATAAAACTGTCTCAACTCTCGCTGACGTGAAAAACGTCCCAAAATCAAATTTCAAGAATCACATCAAACATGAGCTCTTAGAATGGTCAGTAAATATATGTTACCCCCTGAAAGATTTTCCACTATTCACGGGAAAGAAATAGCCAAAAGGCTAAGTATCTAACACAGTCAATCCCACAAGGTGGGTCAAAGACGAAGACATCCGGAAGTAGGGGAAGTATCAAGAAGGTAAACCAATATGATGGTAAGAAATAATAGTTACAGTAACTTAGTCAGAGCTCAGTGTAGACTATAGTTAGGGATGTTGCGATACTATCAATACTTAGTAGGTATCGATACTTTTATTGCGATATCGCTTTATATCGCTCAACACAGTAGGCTATATCTAGCCTACTGCTGGTATCGTATCGGTATCGGTTGTTCCGATATTTACTTGGTATCGATACCAAGAGGCCAGTATCGTATCGTAAGTATCGGAAGGAAATATCTGAGTCAAACGGCCCAGCTCGTGCCTTCTGAGCGGTTATTTTCCAAGGCTGGAGCAACAGTGACCCAAAAAAGAAACAGTGTTTCACCCAAATATTTAGTATTTTTGTCTAGCTTGAAGTAAAACTTGAGGGTTTAGTAGCAAAGAATTATTTTCATTACCGTACAACCCAATGTTAGCATTTATAGCAACGTTGTGTTAAGCAAATAAATAGGTACTTTCCTGTTAGCCTAAAGGGAACATTTATTAACTTATTATCGATGATTTTTTCGATACCTTATCAATATTTTTGTTTTCCTTTACAATCCATTACAAATTGACAACTGGTCTTATTTAGGCTAAAATATAACTTAATCTATTATATGGATTAAGAAATGAAACTGTTCTAAGCTAACCTAACATAACCAACCAAACTTGCTGGACCATTTAAAAATTCTGTTTGATAACAGAAAAGGTAAGTTAAACGGAATTTTTAAATGTTACAGCAAGTTTGGTTAGTTAGGCCTATGTTAGGGCCTAGTTTTTAAGTTTAGAACAGTTTTTTTCCAATATTTTTTAAAATTATTGTTTGTTGATATTGAACATTATTTAATCATCGTTAACGATCTGTCTTCAGCATCTGGATCTAGCGAATTGGTTCAGTATGCTGATGATACGACTCTCTGTTGCAGTGCCAACAATCTTCCAAATCTAGAAATCAAAACTTTTGTAGATCTAAATTCATGTGTTCAATTTTTTGAAAACATCAATTTGAAAATAAATTCTCAAAAAACAAATTTCATCCGTTTTTACAGGCACGGTGAACCAAGTGAGACTGTAACGGTCATGATTGATGACTCACAAATTGAACAAGTAAATTCTTTTAGGTTTCTGGGCATCACCATTGACCGGGGGCTCACTTGGAGTAACCACCTTGACAACGTCTGCACGAGGGTATCTTCAGGCTGTTTTGCCTTAAGAGTCCTCTCAAAATTTTGTCCAGAAAATGTCTTGCTAATGGCCTACTTTGGCCTTATTTACCCCCATCTTTCTTATGGAATTGCAATTTGGGGTGGATGTGCAGAAGCGGACTTCCACAGGTTGTTCCGTCTTCAAAAGAGAGCACTCAGAATAGTGGCTAAACTACAGGTGAGAGAGTCTTGTAGGACCGTCTTCAGGGAGCTAGGCCTGCTTACTCTTGCCTCTCTGTACATCTTGGAAGCTGCCACGTTTTCCAAATTTAAATGCAGCCTAACACAAGGCCAGGACATTCACTCCTATTCAACTAGAGGCAGAGAACAATATAGGTTGGCCCAAAACAGGTCCCGTGCAGCCTCAAGCTTGCCCTCTCAGACGGGGGTGAGATTTTTGAATAGTCTTCCTGAACAGATAAGGAAAGAAAGGAACGAAAAACGGTTCAAACGGATTTTGAAAAGATATCTGATTAATAAAGAATATTACACTGTGGGTGAGTTTTTTGACACAAATGAGTAGATGGTGTTCGGCTGCTCTGAGGTTTTCAATCAATCAAATGACAAGTTCTGTGTAATTTTTTAATCATTTGTATTATTAATTGTTTTATGATGTTGTATTTATTTGTCTTGCCGCTTGTTATGCCTGTATTAAATGTTGACGGATGCCATGCAATTTTATATTTGTTTCACGGCAATAAAGATATTATTATTATTATTATTATCGTAGTTGTCAGCTGAACAACAGATTCAATTCGTTAATATCTAAAGTTAAGTAGGCCTATAGAGAAAAAAATCATCGATAATAATGAATGTTCCCTTTAACAGGAAAGTAACTTACCAGCAATAAGGCTAAAATGAAACCATGGACTATTTAACATAAAATAAAACTAATGAAGATGACATAATAAACTAATAAAAATTTTATCTAGGCCTATTAAAAAGATAAAATTGAAAACAAATGTTGGCTGTGTTTGGTTATTTGTTAGCCTATCAACTTAATTACATAATTAGGCCTAGGTAGTTCTTAGCAGCTTGAATCCTATATTGGCTGTACTGTACTGGAGCGAGTAAACTTTAATCGAAGCTCAGTGAATCAGAATATGACGTAACTGGTATCGATACCAATGGATACGATCCTACTGAACCAGTAACTTACTTATCGATACTATTTTGCGATGCGGTATTGATACCAAATATCGGAAAGACAGTGGTTGGCCTATCGCAACAACCCTAACTATAGTACCCCAGGCCTAATTATCAGGCTCTAGTCCTACAGTCAAAATTGTTTTTTTTTTTTTTTAGTTGTAGGTTTAAGTTAACTTAACTCCTAAACTCCTAGCCTACCTATATACTTTAACTTAACATTGCCCAGGCCTTACATTATCCTTATACCTATGAAACATGTTAAGTTTTTCGCAGTTTTCATGATAAAACATGAATTTATTAGGCCTAGTGCTTGTTTAAACATAAATGCCGGTTTTAACAGTTACATTGAAATTTGAAACACGAACAAATAGTCTACCCTATTTGTGTAGGATCTAAGTTAAGTTATAACTGAATGCTTACTCTTATTCAGAAGCGACAACACCAGTACAATAAATACAACACAAAAACTAGTTTAACTTAGAAGTTTATAACGGGTTATTAGTTAAAACAATTATATTCACTTTGCCACCAAATGGAAAACGATTCAACTTCAACAATCAACGATTCAACCCTGCCTGCCATGCCACCGAAATCTTAATCTTCACTTCAATCTTCACTTCACAGCACAATCACAAATCACCAATTTTCAAATTCTGTTTTGTTTCATTTTTTGTTGTTGTGATTATAAAAAAGGCCTTCATAGTTCATCGTCAGTCTAATCATTTGAGCCATGGAACCCCGTTGTAACCACGTAGTAACGAATCGACAAGACGATTACCTAATGTAGTGTATAATAAAAGGTTCGGCTTGCAAACTTGAAATACAGTATATCGAAACTCGAAACCACGAGAAGGAATATTCAAAGAGAAAATAGTAGTTCTTTTTCTGTTCTAATATTTGTGGATGAAATTTGCCATAAGTTACACGTTTGTTTTAGCGAATTTCCCTATAGGGAAGTAGCTATTCCGTAGGTGGCACGGTAAGACTTAGGCCCGGGACCGATTTACTTTTTTATTTTGATAATAGATTTATATATGACTATGACATCATTGTCGAAACTAGTGGTTGTTTAATCAAATGAGTTAAAAAAAATGGTACTTAGTTTTTAACAATGCATTTGTATATCAAAATAGTAGCCCAATCACTACAGTTTTCATAATATAAATAAACGTCCGCCGTGAACGCGATAACTTGAGTAGGTACCGTAATTTTTGTCCGATTTTGATGAAATTTTGGTTGAAGGTGTTTAAGGCGGGATAAACTTGAATGAGTATGGGAACGGTGTTTTACGGGGGTTTTATGGGGTAAAAAATTATTTTTCTCAATTTTCACCCTCAAAACCCCTAAATTTCCTAATATCTCTCTAGATATTTTAAAGAGATTAAAAAAACAAATAATTTAGTATATCAAAGTGTTTTTGTACGGTTATTGGTAACGGAGAAAATTCAAAAAATTGTAAATTTAAAATTCCCATGTTATTTATGGAGAATATTGTAAAATGTTGATGTAGTTTGGTTGTTTTTGGATATATTTTGATCAAACTTGGCAAATTTATTTATTGTCTATACTAAGCTATTAATATTTTACTAAAAAATGCATGGTATTAGTTTCCTTGTAGCGGCAAACCTAGGTACTCTTTAAACCTAATGTTATTTAAATAAATTGAATTGAAAATCAATTCAGACAAATGTAAATTCGCTTAGTCGGCAGGTTTGCTGCGGCGGAGGTATTTATTTTTAGACCCCAAAGTGAAAAATAAAACCATTAGAACGAAGATATACTAACCAACACGAGTAGTATGTTAAATAAATATGCCTCTATGGACCACATATTTGTCACATATTTGTGTTGAAATATTGATCTTGATCAAAAATAGAAAACTCTACTTGCCTACTTGAGTTAATTTTCCACTAAGACAATAAATCATTTCATTTCATTTCAAACTAGTTTACCTGTTGCTCGAATTCGAGTAGTAGTTATATTTATCGATGGTTCCGCCACGGACACCAACCTTCGGCTTTGTCTTTCGGCCTTGACGACGCTCCGACGTGACCACCGAAATGGAGGTGGAGAAAAAACGTGTGAAGAACAAGTCTCGTACGTCGTTCGGATAAGGATTCCATATACTGCTGCTTCTCGCCACCAGTTTCCTATGTATATCACAAGTGGGAAATTGAAGAACAATATTTTTCCATTGAGCGTTTACGGTATTAGTATAGTCATCAAACCGAATCATTCCTAACGTACCTAAAACCGAATTGAAAAGATATTTTTACATAATAGCCTACATTTTTAATCTTTAAATACGTATGACATTCTTAATTTGCAAAATAACGTAAACAGAACAAAGTATATACGGGGTTTATATGATTTATATAACGAGCAGTATGTACAACAATTAGAAATAAATGGTATCAGCATTCTGACACATCCTTTCTCCCATAAGCTTGTCAACAACCTTTTATCATAAACGGTGAGAGTAAATATTTTATATTTTATTTTTAAATAAAAGAAATGAAAAAACGCCTGGAGATACCATGAATTTGTACCTACATACCAAATTTCATCAAAATCGGACTACAGGTGTGGTCTGTAGCTCTGTACACACGCAGACACACAGTGGTTTTCAAAAGTTCGAAACCCACTTTTTTGGGTTCAGGGGGACTCAAAATTGATATATCCATTCAAAAATCAAACTCGAAATTTTTAACGAAAACGATACTTTCTCCATTACTATGTATAGGGAGAGAAAATAAAAAAATAAAACTAAGGTAAAAACTCATGTAACAACAATCATCATGAAACTTAAAACCTAAAGGATACTGTAAGTAACTGAACAATAAAACATTTGAAAGTTTATTGCAAAATCACGGTGTCATGGTTCTTAGTAAACTTGTAGAGATTTTGTTATTTGATTTGCCTTGACACATTCTTTGAGTTTTCTAGCCTTTGCTCACAATTTTCTCCATTTGTCCAACACCTCCCTGCTCTTGCTTTTCGTAGTTTTCTTCTATACAATTTCAGCACTAATATTTTCCTTTTGTTATGGACAGAGACTCGTGCACTCCATTTATTGATGTGAAGTGATGAAACAGAAAAACAAAATTATATTGTAATTTTTTTTAATTAAAGCAATATGTAAACTTGTTTTTAATTTCAATATAGGCATACTATGGAATCAGTTTCGTTTGGAAAAATATAATTTACTCAAATTAGCTAGTTTTACTGTATTCTTAATAAAAAAAGCCACTTATACTGTAGCTTTGTTTCTCTATTATAAAGGAAATGTCACAGCATTTTTTTCTCTGTGGTTATAGTATCAAATTACAAAAGCAATAAATTCCATATAAAATGTTCAGTTCAATTACTATTATTTCAAATTTGGTAAAAAATGAGTAAACATCTAAAACTAAATACACAAGATTCAGTACTGTAACATATCTCAATATTTTCCCCGACTACTAAGGATTACTACAGTATACAGTAAGTAAATCTCATTAAAGTTTTTTTTAACGTTAAAGATTTTCTTTAAAATTTTATTTGAACATTTGAACATTTTTATAGTCAGAGTCTTAATATTAACTAGTGAACCTGTGCGGCTCAATGCCCCGCAAAATAACATATGAATTTAGAAAACAAAATCATCGTGTTTTATATTAAATCGACGTTGAAAATTAAAGCCTTAGAAGGGAAGCAGTGTAGCCATTTTCTAGCTGTATGTGTGTTATATTTAGTAATTTAATAAGTGTTCTAGTTCAAGTAGCCTATGTTATAGGGCAGTTATTTTTTAAAGATATTTAAAAACACATTTAACCAAACATTTTATCACATCAAACCAATAGGCCTATGCAGCATATTTTGAGGGTCATAAAATTCTGCTTGAAGAAAACGCTCTTAAAAATAAACACTAAAAAACAACATTTTTATCACAAAAGCACTTTCTTGAATACAACGATTTTTGTCTTAAAAGTTACCTTCAGGAATATTACCCTGGTCAGAATTTTCTTAATGAATATGCATATCCTATTAAAAGATGTAGCCTTACTTAAAACAACATATAGGTAATATAGTTGCTCAACACTGAAATTGGTCTGGGTAAGAACAGCGCTGCTCTTTAATTAAAGGGCTTGTGCTGCAAATGCCAAAGATAATAGAAATTAGCATCAAACGGGCATATTTTTATCCTCAAAATCTAAATATGTCCCCACTCACTTATTCCAGTTAGACTTAACATTCTATTAAGTTGTTAACCGTTCTGATCACATGACGCCTTGTGCCATTAATGATGAGGCTCTTCTTTATGTAGGCCTATTCCTTATCAATAAAACCACTGCCCCCTTTTATTAGTCTTATCTGTGTCTGACAATCCACTGACCTAATTAAAACTCAGTAGGATTTTCTAGATGGGTGTCTCCGCCTTTGTCTGTTTTCGAGGACCCACTCTTTTCCCCATTGGCATACTGACAATTAATTAGGCCTACTTAACTTGTCAAGTTCATGTAGTAATTAATTAATACTGTTAGTTTATAAAGAAAATTAAATAAAAGTTACTTGGCTTGGTGCTTTCATAACTGCAAACTCAAAATACACCCACAAGTAAAAAAGAATCAAGTTATTGGTAAAAAAAACTATGTTTGTGTAGCAACATTATTCACATGAAGTAGACGATTTGTTTGATTTATCGATCAGCTGTTTTGTTTCAAATGAATTAATAATGTCAAAGATTTGTGATTTTAAATACATAAATTATTATAGTAAAGTTTTCTAAATCATTGTAACTTATTCTCAACTAAATTTTACTATTCCCAGCATTAAAATAAAGTAGTAAGATCCATTATGAGTAAACTTTAAGGTACACAATCCTTGATTGAAATGTAGTATACATTAACAGTCATAATACACGGCAATTATTATGTAGTGGACTTTGACTATTTTCAAGTAACGAACATATGTTTCTGTAAATAAAAATTATCTCTTATGTTATCCTCTACTTGATATGAGCACACTCTGTAGAGTCTTTGTTCAAACAACTCAAATCTTGCTCAACATAGTATATTTTAAATGTGCACAAATGACAGTTTTATCTTTGTGGTCTAAACTGAGATGATTTCTAATAATATTATTGGGTAATTTGCATCGACAATCATTTTAAAAGATTTCCAAATCAGCTTTCAAACAGTTTGTAAAACATCTATGATCCGTATACATATAAAACTACTGAAAGTATGACAATCAAGTTCTTAGATCTCATTATTGAACATGAACTCTCATCAATATAGATTTGATATTATTTTTGTTATTCTTTATCCAACTGGAGGTTAAGGCCTCATCAGAATTGTCTGAAATCCTCTTTGGTAAGTGAGAGGATAATAATATGCCAACTTGAATACCTTTACACGTGAGGGTGGAAGGGAAACGGACAGAGGAGCAACTGTCAACCCCACGTCCGAAGAATTCGCAAGGGTAGGATCGAGACGCTCCTCGGTTCGACTAGTGCGAGTATAACTATAATCTCCTATTTATTACGAGGGTAGAAAAATACATGACTGGTTCATA